TGCTCTGTGTTGAGAGAAAAATGCAAGAACTGAACAAGTATGTAATTTGAAAATATTTAATGATAAATCAGTTCAGCAGATCATAAAAACAGCTTGGCAGTTAAAATTGTCCCTGACCTTGCTTCTTAAAAGCCATCATGGTAGCATAAAGGCAACCTGATTAAAAGACCTTCGGAGGGGGCGCCCCGCCGATTTCAGCGGCCTTCGCCAGGACTACTTTCAAATCCTTCACCGACGAACCCAAAATTAGACACAAGCAAATAAAACCAGTAAACCCCAGGCAACCTTTGTGCACCAAGCCCGAACGAAGACCTACAGGGTGGGTTAAGTATAAGCCGGTGATCCGATCGGTTGGGGTTGGGTATCCTGGAACACAACAAACGAGACGTCCAATTGCAGACGAAGTGTGTGTAGACCCCTCGGTAGTCCACGAGGGACTGAGCCATGAAAAGGGGGAAGCGATCCATGCGTGTGTGTGTGAAGGTGTTCCGGAAGATGGGACAGAAGAAGAGTAAGTCTTCTGGTCCATGGGTGGGGTAACGTCTGATGTTAGGTTACCCCGGGATTACTGATTAAAATTGGGAGGATTCCCCTTTTAGGCGGGGAAGGAATAAAGTAAAAATGATACATTATTGTGTTGAAGTTTGGGGTGGTAAACAGATTCGAGGAGACCACCTGTACTGGCCCATATTTGAGTCTTTTGAAGGTTGGGTTTGTCAGGCCTAAATATTTGTGTAAACTCAAAGGAACCTTTTAGTTTGGAAGAAAGTGAATAGGCACGTTTGTGGATCAGCTCGGAAACTCGAGCCAATTTATATCCTCTAAAAGAAAAAGGAGGGGATGGGAGGCGTAAGGAAAAACCAAGAATTAGAGATCCCAGCCCCACTGCCTCCCTATATTCCACCACCCCCACCTGCAGCCCCTCCAACTCCCGGGCTTCCTAATCCGCAACCCCGGGGAGACTGTGATAGCGACTCTGACTCTAGCGTTCAGGGACCAGTGACTAGGAATATGTGGCTGTTCCCATTAACTCCGGGGACATCCGAGAGTTTAAGAAAAGGACAGGCGGAGGGTAAGCGAGTTTTAATGGCAACTGGCATAATGTTTGCAGCTGCTGAGGAATAATTCTAACTGGAATAATAATTGTATATTGTATATTGTATATATAAAAGCCCGGGCATTTTTGTTAAAGTGTTCTTTTATACATATGTTAATATGTAAATATGTAAATATAAGAACTGCCATTGAGGTGTATGTCTAAGGGAACAAAATTTGCCCAGGCATATTATCGGCTCATCAGGTTTAAATGTCCTCAGTGTAATTGTCCACAGGCAGTTAATTTACAGTGGTCTGATTTTACTTGTGTATCTATATATTGTGGATTTTGGAGGGATTGGGATTGACTAGTAAAGACCTTCTAGGAAAATAGTGGAATATTAACCACTGTAGATTACAATAGGAAAAGTTCAAAGCCAAGAAATCCCAAGGAAAAGCCCCCTAGGATGTATACTAACACATTGGAGGGATATAGTGGGGTGAGAGTGTACAGAGAGTAAAGAACTCTTATCAAATATTGTAATCAGTGGTGGCCACTTTATAAACTAGAGGATGGAGCGGAGTGGCCCCTAAATGGAACTATTACAACACCATATTACAGTCAATGTTGTTTTTGTGGAAAGAAGGAAAATGGGATGAAATATGGTATATTGATTGATATGTTGTTTCAGTATCTTGGAGGGAAAAGGTATGGAAGTAAGTTGGACTCTGACTGAGCCTTGGGTGCTGGTATTAGAAAAGTACGGGCTGGAGGAAGATAAAGGAAGTATTAAAAGGGTTGCTGAAGGTGTTAAAGGTGTGGCATGTAGTAGAGAGCTGTTTGAAATTGAATGAGCAGGGAAAGGGGACGTAGGCATTATCTAAGTAACAGTCTAGAAGTTTTGGTATATTTGCATATTTGCTGTGGTGTTTGTTCAGTTTCCCAAGCATCGGGGAGGGGGGAACAGCCTGCTCCACTAGGGGCCTCTCCAGTGGCCGCAGGGGGGCTTCGGCTCCAGCGCCTGGAGCGCCTCCTCCCCCTCCTTCTGCACTGACTTTGGTGTCTGCGGGGGGGGGGGGGGGGGGGGGGGGGTTCTCGCTCTCCCAGCTGCTGTTGAGCAGCAGGTTTTTGTTTGTTTGTTTTCGTGGATGTGCTCTCACAGAGGCACGGACTGTATTGCTCATGGCTTGGCTCTGGGCAGCAGTGGGCCCCTTTGGGGCCAGATGAAATTGTCCCTTGTCTACCACAGGGAGGTTTCTGGGCTTTTCTCACGGGGGCTGCCACTGCAGTTTCCCACCCCCACACCCCTCACACCCCCCGAACCTTGCCATTGAACCCAATACACTGGGGAACAGCTAGGTCATTACTGACTTGTAAAGTATCAGGGATTAAATTAACTAATGAAACTCTAAATGTGATGGGGGTAGAAGGGACTGGGATAACAGTGCCACTTTTGGGGGATACCACGCTGAGACCCAGGGGATAAAATGATCACTGGGCAATTATTGTATGTATCCAAGGCGGAGACTAACTTGTTGGGAAGGGATTTGATGATTAAATTGGGCATTCAAATAGTAAATTGTTAGACTGGAATAACAGTGTTATTAATGGAGTGCTCTCTGGCCCTGAGAGCAAACATACATGTATATTCACCTCTGACTGGAAAGACCCTGAAATGGGGGCGGAAGCAACAATATAGGTGGACAATTTTACCTGAGGGGTTTATAGGGCCACCTATCTATTTGGGTAAATTCTAAAAAAAGATTTTGGACCAATTACAACCTCCCAAGGAGGTGGAAGCTTTACTTCTACACTATGTCAGCTGATTTCGAGGCCCCGATGCTGAGAATATATGGGATTTTATTTCTGCCCAAGTTCTAACCCGGGAAAGGGGTACTGTAAATGCCTGAACGTGTATTATTGTGCATACTGGGGGTGTGAAACCATTGCTACAGACTGAACACTCGGGGCTAGTCGGGATAAATTCTTACAAGTGGGATATGGGCTGCAAGGTTGTAACTGACAATTGGATCCCCGTTACAGGTGGCAAGGGCATGGTATAGGGTATACAGGAACCTTCCACGGAAATAAAGAAATTTGCAAGGTTCTATATATAAATATAACAAACTCGGACGATACTAGCTAGGTACTAGGAAAAATGTCAGATTTTACGAACACAGAACAGATAGGGGAGGACTCATACTAATAAAGAAGGAAAAACCCGAGACTTCCAAGGTAGTCGGGCCTAATAAAGAGTTAATAGGGGAAGGTTTGGTTGTCCAGACTGTAAAGATACCTGGGACTGCCCAACCTACTACAGTGTTTTCTAATAAGTCGACAGAGTTATCCTTTCCCACACTGCTTCCAAGCATTGTGAAAAAAGAAGGGGGTTGTACCCGAGAGTAGAAAGTTATAAATGTGAGTTTCCAGGTACTAAATCAAACTAATCCTGAGATAACTGAAGGGTGCTGGCTATGTGTAAGTGTTAAGCCCCCATATCATGAAGCTATAGGAGATATGGGGAGGTCTGAATATTCAAGTGAGTCAAATCCTTCCAAGTGCAGTTGGGGTCAGGAAATTGGTATAACTTTGACTCAAGTTACAGGAAAAGGTAGATGTATTGGCACAGTTCCAAGAGATAAAAATGATCTGTGCCATGCCACTGAAAAAAATGGACCAAACACACAAATGGTTAATTCCTGCAAATAACACTAGGTGGGTATGTTCATCGTTGGGAGTCACTCCTTTCCTACCTTTAAAATTGTTTAACACATCTCATGACTTCTGTGTACAGGTGGTCATTATACCAAGGATTCTATACCACGCTGAAGAGTATATGTATACCCGTCACACAGTGGCTGAATACCATCTGGTAAAGAGGGAGCCTATTACGGCCGTCACCTTAGCCACTTTAATGGCCCTTGGGGCTGCAGGTGCCGGAACTGGAATTGATTCCCTGATAAAACAAAGCCAGGAATTTACTTCTCTATGCATTGCCATAGACGAGGATCTGGCCCGTATAGAGCAATCAATAACAGTTCTGGAAAAATTGGTTAGGTCATTATCCGAAGTGGTACTCCAAAACTGTAGAGGGTTGGATTTGATTTTCTTACAACAAGGAGGACTGTGTGCAGCCCTACGTGAAGAATATGTATATGCAGATCATACTGGGGTGGTGAGAGATACAATGACTAAATTGCAGGAAGGATTAGAAAAACACAAAAGGGAAAATGAGGCTCGTCAGAATTGGTATGAATCCTGGTTTAACTATTCACCTTGGCTTATCACACTATTGTCAACTATAGCGGGACCTTTATTACTAATAATAATAGCATTGACTTTTGGGCCATGTCTTTTCAATAGGGTAATTGCAATTGTAAAAAGTCGATTAGAAGCTGCTCATCTTATGCTTGTGCGTGCTAAGTATGAATGTCTTGAGCAGGAGGAGGACGACGCAGAAACTTTGATGCTCAGCAAGCAAATATTGCAAAAATTCAATGAACAAAATATGTTAGAAAAAGAAAAAGGAGGGATTGTGATAAATTAGTGGGGGTTTGTTCATTGTCTTTGAGGAATTTGGAGAATCTGCTGAGGAGATAAGGTTGTACAATTTAATGGCCTTGGTAAAGGGGAGGATTAAGCAAGCAGCTAGCAGGAGGGGGTATTGGTTAAACACCCTTGAGTGAAACCAGACATCCTGTTTACCGCTTCACTACCCCCACCTGAACAGGAGCACAACGCGTGATCACCAGCAGAGGAACAACGACCCCCCTCTCAACAATAGACTGCGCAGCTTCAGCCAGTTCAACAAGTCCCGATAAGCTGGAACTTGACTGCTATAAAACAGCAACCCTGGAAAGGGAAGTTGCGTGCTGTTGCGGAGCGGAGACTCCCCAGCCGCCCAGCGCTGTTTTGCTTGTGTCTGCTTAGTTGGTTAATAAAAGAATTTCAATAGACCAGAAAATTGTGTGGTCTAACTTATAACATTCCTCAGCTCACAAAGCAAGCTCCTACATACATGCATTTATTTGTACATGCTTGAAGAGTGAGGACTAGAATTGTCAATGGGATAGCAGAAGAATTAGAAGCAGCTTAGCTAAGAATGCAGGCAGTGGTTGTCCTGTGAATTAAAATTCTTATAAGCTAAAAATATACATTTTTAAAAGAATCAAGGCCAAAAATGTTGAAATTAGCAAGTTGAAAGCAGTTGTTTTAGGTCTTTCTGCAGACCAGGGACACACAACGCCTGAGCAGCCATTACTGCAGCTGATGTGTCACTCAGTTTCCTCCATCACCTTCTGTTTTTTCTAAGTCCTATTGGCTTTGTTTTTAGATACATTATTTTTGTTCTGCTGCTGGCTGTATCTTGCAACTGTGGATGCACCATCAATAAACTTGGTCTTGTAGAGGACATTGGCGTTGTTAAACATTCCATCCTTCAAGGACACCACAATAAACTAAAACAAAACAGAAAGCTTAAAATAAATACTCCTATCCAAATAAAGAGTTAAAAAAAAAAGATTAGAAAATGCATCCAAAAATATATATTTTACTTTACTTGGATAATGTCTTAGTACTAATTCTTAAGAAAGTAAATCTAGATATAGCTGAAGCCCAGCAGAACGTGCAAGGCTGGTTAACAAACACCCACAGGTCAGACACTGTAGCTACGAGCTGTGGCTGTGGTCAGTCCCAGTGCTTGGTCTCTTCAGCCCGTGGTGTCAGTGACTATCAGGAAAATGTTGCCATGTAAAAATGCAGGATCCTTTGTAAGCTAAAGATATAACTCAAATTATTTTACAGTACTGGTAACAAATACTCCCCTCTTTATCTAATTTAGAAAGGTTGTATCCACCACCAAACAGAGATACCACTTCTCAGTCTGAGGGATTTCTTCAATTCTACAGGTAATTTTTACAAGTGTAGGCCACAGTGATCCAAAGAGTCTTTCCAGTGCCTGACTTATTTTAACAGGGATAAAAATGAAATACTTTTAAGTTCAGGTTAAAAAACTCTAGCAAAAAAACAAAACAAAACAAAAAAAAAACACGGGTCATGCCTCAAACTGATCATATCGCAGATACTCCTCCCTATTACTGCCTGCTTTTTTTAGCCACTGCAACCATTGCTTATGTTACAAGGTAATGCTTAGAAGAGGTAACGCTTAGAAGTTTCAGTTGCCACATCGTAAGGGTCACGTCCAGCTAAAATGACTTTGTGATTAAAAAAACACTGGAATAAAAAATTAAAAACAGTTGAGAATTTGTAGGAGCAGACTGCTTCTGAAAATAAGAAAGTGAATGAACTAGTTTCACGGTCATACCTGAGAGTGACGGAAATGAGCACTGAGCATCTGTCCAATATTCTGGGTATGAGAGAGATCAAGTGCTGCATCCACTTCATCCAAGATGTAAATTGGGGCAGGTTTGAAAAGAAGCATGGCTAAGATGAAGGACAAGGCCACCAGGGATCTAATACAGAGAACAAGAAAGAAATGTTTTATGTCCATTGGAGAGACGACTTTCACTTATTGAAGGCATTGTTTGGGAGTAATGAAATGCTCTCTCAGAAGCAGATTCATGCTTTCAGTTCTGGAGACAGTAACAGTTTCTGCCACAATGCCTGCCTGGCCCCCTGACTGTGAGGATTGCGACTGGGCAAGCAGCGACTTTCCATCTGCGGTCCCCAAAATCCGAAGGGCACAGCTGTATCAGCTCGATGTCCCCACATCCGCGGGGCTTGATGGGATTCACCCTGCAGTGCTGGAGGAGTTAGCAGCTGCTACAGCCTTTTCAAAGGGTTCTGTAAAGGGTTCTGTAAAGGGTTCACAGCTGGGTTTCCCCAGAGCTCCAGTCTGCGGCCAGCTCTCTTCAATGTTCCCGTAGATCAGCCGGATGAGGACTTGAATGCATGCTAAGTGTGCAGGTGAGTTGAGTTGGAAGACACCTTAAAGGCCATTTAGTATATCTGTGCTCGGGATTGCCCTGGCCCAGCTGCAGAACCTTCCACATGGCCTTGTTGAACTCCACGAGGTTCGCACAGCCCCACCTCAGGCCTGCCCAGGTCCCTCTGGAGGGCAGCCCTTCCCTCCTGTGTGCTGGCCACACTACACGGCTCGCTGTCATCAGCAAACTTACTGCAGCTGCCCTTGATCCCAGTCTCCGTGTCACAGACAAAGATGTTAAACAGCTCTGGTGCCAGTACCGACCCCAGAGGAACACCACTGAGCACTGATCTCCATCTGGACACGGAGCCCCTGACCACAGTGCTTGGATCGCAACAATTCCAACAATTCCTTACTACCGAGTGCTCTGTCCACCACATCCATGTCTCTCCAATTCAGAGGCAAGGATATCAGGGGGGACAGTGACAAGTGTTTTGCACAGACCAGGCAGATGCCATCAGCTGCTCTTCCGCTACCCACCAATGCTGTAACCCCAGCGTGGAATGCCACCAGATTCGCCCTATCTGCCCTTAGTGAGGCCGTGCTGGTTGTCCCCAGTCACCTCTTTATTTTCCACCTGCCAGGTTCCAGGAGGATCTGCTCCGTGATCCTGCCAGGCACAGAGGTGAGACTGACTGGCCTGAAGTTCCCTGGGTCTTCCTTTTCTCCCTTTTTAAACATGTTATGTTTCCCCTCTGCCAGTCAGTGGGAATGTCACTGGACTGGCACAGCTTCTCAGATATGACGGGTAGTGGCTTATCACCTATCTCATCGGGTCCCATGGATCTGTGCATGGTCATGTTCCTCAGATGGCTCAGACCTGATCTTCTACAGCCAGCAGTTCTTCACTCTCCCAGTCTCTGCCTTTTCCTTCTGCGACTTAGGCAGTGTAGCTAGAGCACTTGCTGGTGGACTGAGGCAAAAACAGTCTTTGAGTACCTGTCTCCATAACCCAGGTAACCAGGACTACTGTTTCCTGGAGGAGAGGGCCCACATTTTCCCTAGTCTTCCTTTTTTCACTGTTGTAATTATAAAAACCATTTTTATTGCCCTTTGACATGTCTGGCATTGACATTTTCTTCACCAAGGCTCATATGATGCTTTACCCATTGACCTGCCTTTGTCTCACTTAGTAAGCTCTCCTGCTTTTACCTTTCTGATTTTCTCCCCTATCCCAGCTGAGGAGAATGAGTGAAATGCTGTGTGGTGCTCATCAGCTGCCCAGGGTTAAACCACAACAACCCTGTGGGTGCTCAGATGCTGTAGCAAGCTTCCAAAAGAGGTGGTATATGCCCCAAGACTGGCAGTGTTGAAGAGGCAGTTGGACAGTGCCCTCAATAACAGACTTTTGTTTTGGTTAGCATGAAGTGGTAAGGCAGTTAGGCTTGATGATTTTTGTGGGTCCCTTCTTTTTAAGATCATGCTGTTGCTTCACCTATTCTCAATTCTGAGTTTTGCAATGCTGTTTTTCAACTTGCAGTTCTTGAAAAGCTCTGGCTTTTTCTCTACCCTTCAAGAAGTCTTGTGCCTCTATTCCACCTCTCCCTAAATTCTGTTTCTGTTTTTTAACTAGGTCAGTTTTTCCTCAGAAGTTGCAAAGAAGCACATGCCCTACACACCAGCAGATCACTGGAGAAGAAAACTTGGTCACCATGACACCGCTTTGAATCCAGGGCAGAACATGTCTATGCTGATTTTTGAGGTTACAACTCGAAGACTGGAGTACTTAGTGTCAACTGTACCTCACTATTACCCAGTTACTGCAGTTTTTCCATTACTCATTTTCATTTTTGTCGTTTTGTCCACTTCTCCATGGAGTAAAATGTTGCTATTACATGCCAAGCACTGCATTGTTCTAAGTCAGGTTCCTTCTTGAACTAAATTGAATTAAAAGTATTTTGAGTATGAAGCCAGGATGGAAAAAGACAGAGCCCTTGACTTGACCAGGAAAAAGATTAATTTCTTATGTTAGTTCTAAACTCTAATTGGCTAGACATATCAACTATATATGCAACTACAATGGAATAAAACAAATTTCGAAACACCCACAAAATTTACTAACCTTTGGCCTCCACTAAGTTCTACCAAGTTTTCCTTCCACGTATTTCCTAAGGCAACTTTGAACTCCATACCATTGAAGACTTTTCCAGTTTTATGGACTGCTAACATTGCTTTGGCTCCTGGTAGAAGCATTGAGAAAATTGAATCAAAGTCTTTGTTCACCTAGAAGACCATGAAAGATGTATGAACAACCTTTGAATCAAAAGCACAAGCTGCTACAAAAACTTAGCAGTGAATTCTCATGTCTTAAGTTTAGAAGATATGGTGAAAAAATGTTAGTACAGCATCTTTTATTTCTGCTATACTTAAAATGAAGCAAGACCTAGGAAGGTATGTAGGACACCTTAGACCGAGCATTTTATAAAGATCAAATAAATATACTGGAGGACTTTTGTGCTGTCAGCCAGGAAAATGGTTATGCCCTGCCTCAGATTTACTTTTTTTCTTTTTCTTTTTTTTTTTTTTTTACACCAGATTTATCAAGGGTCAATTAAAATCCTGATTAAAAGACTATTAGAAGTGTAAGCATCTCATAAGAGGCACACGTGGGCATCCTCACCACTCTACTTCCTCCAGGACTACTTAAAAAACGTCCACATATTGAGTAGGATGCAACTGTAAGCCTAGAATAAAAAGCTCTCAGGGCAAGGAAAGCATCTGAGAAAACACTTGTTCCACTACCCATGATGCTTTTAAACATAAAATTCACATCCTTTTGTCAAACAAGATTTTGCAACAAAAAAGAACAGTGGTATCTTGAGCATGGGCAGTAATAATTAAAGCCAATAGTTAATTTGTGAGCATATGAAGTTATTTGAGTAGGTATAACCAATTTTCTGAAAGGCCAAGAAGTACAAATTCTCCAGGCACAGAAAAAAAAAAAAAAAAGTGTCAATAGTTTTACAGGTACTAAGGGAAAAGGAAAAATTTACACTATTTTTTTTTTTAATAGTTCATAACATGAGAGGACTAGCAAGAAAGCAGAGTACTTACACAGCAGAAACCTAAATGAACTGTTTCTACCTTCCAGTCAGAGTCCACAGCACCAGTTTGTATGGGGCTGTTCCACAGAGCCAGAATTATTTTAATTCTGGTCAAACACCTAAAGAGTGATTCCTTTCAGTACCTAAAGGGGTACTACAAGAAAGCTGGAGAGGGACTCTTTATCAGAGAATGTAGTGACAAGACACAGGGAAATGGTTTTAAACTGTGGGTGCCCCATCCCTGGAGGTGCTCAAGGCCAGGCTGGATGGGGCTCTGAACAACCTGGTCTGGTGGGAGGGGTCCCTGCCCATGGCAGGGGGGTTGGAGCTGGATGATTTTTAAGGTCCCTTCCAACCCAAACCATTTCAGAGATTTCAGAGATACAGTCTATGTAAAAGGCAATGACTTCAGGATGCAAGTAGCTTAACTTTCATTTTATTTTTGTGAGCACCAAAAGAGAATGGTAAATAGTTTGCAGTTTTGAGTGTATCTCCACAATTTTCAGAGAATTCCTATTTTATCCTCAAAAGTGAGATGAAGCAGGAGAAATGGAAGTGGCTGCTTTGTAAGTTAAATACTAGGCAACGGAGATTAGTTCTGGAAAGATTTTTTTCAAGGAAACACGCAAGAGTAATCTAAGATGAATCTGATTCTGAAGAAAAAATACGTGCTAAAATGTGAAAACTGCTTTTCAAGTCACATACCTTTTGCCAAGCAATGTGTAAAGCTTCATTTTTCTTCTGGTCAAGCTCTTCAATAGTAGCAATAATTTTTTTCTTATCATTCTCTACAATTCTTTTTTTCTTCATCAAGTCATTGTACTTATGCAACGAGAAGAGAAGATTGATCTCAATGAACTTTAGCATAAAATGAATTTGAGCACACACACAAAAAAAAGTAAAACTGTAACTGTGAAACGGCAATTATCCACAAGATTGAAATCCAAAGCATTTATTTAGCTGTATGTGGGACTTACGTTTTAGGATATTATTTACAAATTAAAGCATTTGAATTTCCAACAGTCAGCAAAGGGGAAAACCAATGTTAGTCAAAAATTTGCACCTTGTTTTCAAGTTAATCATGATTCATTTGCCTTTCTAGGCAAAGTATGCAGATAGGAAAAACAGACCTATTCTAATCAAGAAACAGTATTAGAAGTTCAGTGAGTGAGTCAATGGATGGTTTTGAGACAAAACTGTAATAACCTCAAGATACAGGTGAATTTAAGACAACTCTGGAACATCTTTAAGCTATCTTCTTTAAGATGAGCAGGTTTTTGATCTGCAGACTTTGATGAAGTATGGATTTCTCAGATGCTGTAAGAGATATCACCCAAGCTTGCCTAATGGCAACTTAGAATGGACTGTTGTGGAGGAATTATTCTTTTGACTATTCTGAATCAAGATAATCCATGACCTGGCTTACTGGTGCACTATCAAATAGTTAAAAAATATAGTGTGTATCAAAGATCTAACTAAGGTTCCCTGCTAACTCATGAAACCTAGCTTTATTTTTGGTGTATTCAGAAATATAGTATATGAAAATATAAAGCTTCATATAAATAAATATAAATATATATTATTAAAAATATAAATATTTATATATAAATATATAAAAATGTATATAAATATATATACCCACCTGCCCAATCTTTAAAGGTTAATACACAGAATGCTTACCTTTTCTTCTGCATCAGAAAGCATGTTCATATATGACATGTTCACGTTCTTCTCCAGCTGCTGTTTTTTTGCCTGAAGTCTCTGCACCTTCTGACTTACATCTTTAGGATTGTTGGCTTTAAAGTCATAGTATGTGTTTGGCTGACCAAAAAGATGTTTCTCGGAAGCTATCCACTCATACTCCTTCAACATTTTGTTTACCTGTAGACAAGATACCATGTGGAGGCTTTTTTTTTTTTTTTTTTTTAATTCTGAATTAAAACAAAACCAAAACAAACAAACAAGAAAAACCACCACCATCCTAAAATTACTCCAAAACATCGATTATTCTACCCAACACAACATAGGATAGCTTTACCATGCCTCATGTGATTTCTAAGGCAAACCAAGATTTTTGAGGTGCTTTCATACATGCTTTTCATATGTCACTTGGAACATGTTTTATTTTCTGTATCTGGACTAAGCCATAGTCACTGAGTATTTGGATCAATTTCTTTAACTGGTTACACAATTTGTTCCTAAGATCAGAATAGTCTTTTCATTGGCCACCTTCTCTGTGATCTAGTTTCTATGAATCCATACTGGTAAGCTATGCTACAATTTTTAGTTTCTTCTCCTCCTTGAGACAAAACTTTTCACATTAAGAGCTGCAAATACGACAACGCTCGTCATGAAGAAAGGCTATTTCCTTTTCATGTGGCAAGGAAAATAACCACTCTTGGTCACTAGATGCAAGGAAAAGTATGGTTCTGAAATACCTTACCTTGGTAGTGGCATCAGCAGCCTCTTGTTGATACTTGCTCATGTTGTGCTCTAACGTTTTAACATTAAGCTGCAATTCATTAGTTTGTTCTCTGTATTTTACCGCCTCTGCAGATTTGGCTTCAATCTTTTTATTCTGTACTTCAATGACTTCTTTCTGCTTGGCCAGCTCCTTCTGGGCTTTCTCTACAGATTCCTGAAAAGAAATTCAGACAGCTATTTATTAACTTCTTACAAAAGGAGATGTTAAACAGTTGTTAGAAAAGAAGGACACAGCAAAGTAGAGGAAAAAATTAACACATGGCAATAGAGCCAAAAAAAAAACTACGTAGGCTAAACATAAATGACTTTATTAAACATAAATGAGCAAGAAAATCCAAACAACAAAAAAATACACCATACAATTTAAGCTTTAGGGGATCATATCTCCAGTAACTTGAAAACTGATAATGAGATTCGGTATTCACTTTTACCTTGGACTTGGATGCCTCAGCTTCCGTCGCGGTAACTTTCTCCTGGTAGGATTTGATTGTTTTCTCTGCAGCCTCAATTTGTTGCTTAAAGTTGGCCTCTTCACGTTTTAGCTCTTCAAGTTCCAGAAGTAATGCATCAACTTCCTAGACAGATGTTTTCAGATGTATTAAGGTCTACTTAAGTGGAAGGAATTAACATTCAGTTTGATGTATTAAATGAGGTAGAAGATAATAGAACAATTGCTCTTCAGCAAGGGAACAATGTTGCAAAAGAAGCATCAGCAATTTCTACATGTTAGTGACTACAAAGTTTTGAAGCTGGCAGGATTAAAATTTTAGGAGAATCAAAGTTTCTGAGTACTGGAACCTCTTCTGATAGTGAGAAAAATTACCAACAACCTTTGGGCTGCCAACAACTCTTTCACCATAAACGATTTTATGATAACAAAAGTAAGTTTTACCTGCTGCTTTTCTTTTGTTTTTTTGCTTGAATCATCAGCCTTCTTCTTGCTGTCATCTAACTTCTGCTGGACATTCTTTAGTTCTTTTTCACGTTCTGCTTCTGCATTTTTCATTTTATTCTCCAATACCTTGTATTGTTCTTCTGCTTTCTTTTGACTCTCTTCAGTTTTCCTTAATGTCTCTTCACACTCCGCTGAATCAAGAAATGTAGCACTAAGACTGAACAGTGTTCTTATCGTTAAGCTTAAACCCTAGCCTCCAATAGAAATAAGTTTATCTTTGCCTCTACTAGAAAAAAAAGTCGTACATTTGCTAGTTACTGAAGTCAGCTATTTCAGTGATTCCTTTAAGACACTAAACAGAAAACCATTTGTTAAAGAAAACAGGGGCAAATCTATGCCAAATCTGTTGTAAAAGCAAGTTATTAAACAGCTACTCAACAAGTTACCTCATCCATAGTGTACTATGTCCACGTTATCATTTCTGTCCATTTTTGTCTTTACTTGATTCCTTTTACATTTTTCCTTAGAAATATCAACAGTACTTCTTTCCACTACTTTCCTGTCATTCAAACTGTTTATTTTGCTAACCTTAAATGTGTATGAAAACAGAGGGTTTGGAAAAAACAGCCACAAAATTACTCAGCTATGGAATCAAATCCATTAAAAATGTCTCTGTAAAGTCATTTTTCTTTCTATTTTAAATAATATAAAACCCCTAATAAGGATGTAAGCTTTACAACAAAGCTTATCTGAAGAAACCTTGTCCCAATCCCACCTATGCTTGTCAGCTGTGATTCTGTATCTCTGTATACTCCAAAAGTATAAAGCTAATTTTCAAAGCTGTTTTTTTTCCCTTAAGCAAAGATTCTGCTACTTAAGCAGCCAAACCATCTCATTCTCTGCAATTAGTTTTCAGTTACAAGATTAAAAACATATTTGTCTCACCAATGGTTTTTTTCAGAGCAAGCAGCTCTTCCTCTTGCTTGTGATAAGCATTTTGCTGAAGCTTCATTTTCAGTAGCTCTGCTTCTTCAGACTTCATCTCCCACTCCTGCTTCAGTTGCTGGTACCTTTGAAGAAAGACATGATATGCTGCTAAAAGGAGGGGTACCCAGCACTTCAGCTTTGAAGTTGAAATAAATACTGTACTTCCCATTCCAATGAGAGGTACAATGACTATAATACAAATAAAATTACATTTACAGAAGACCAGTATATCTTTATAAAGATAAATAAACATGTAAGTATAAATATCTTTTTAAGTAATTTTGAAGTTTGTAGGTAAATTATTATACATGTCATTCATTATTGTGTAGCCCTGGTAAGGTACATTAAAAACAAATGCAACACATGGAGTTTGTAAACAATTCAGAGCTCATGTCTTTCCAGCCAGTTGTATGACAGGTGCTACATAGAATCAGCAAAGAAAAAAAAAGTATCTAAATGCAAAACTCATTCCTTATTTTGGTCATATTTCCAGAACCTGTTACGACTTAAAACAACCTGAAAAATAAATCGAGCAGGAAGATAGCATATTGCATAACACTACTTTCTTATGGAATTTTTATAGAACTGACTAAACATGTATTTTTATATTCCATCTTTTAAAAACATCTCCAGTAATTAAGTAGCGCAAAATTCAAATATAGTTAAAATTATTTAACTTAAATCCTTATAGCAGTATAACTCAAAGAATCATTTCCCTTTAGTACCTCTGTACTTCCTTTGGAGAACACTAAGAACTATCACAAACTGAAATTCTGGATGTGTGTTACAAAATACGACTGAAACCATTCTTGAGTGCATTTCATGACAACTCCTGAAAACTGCAGGTGATCTCAAATAAATATTATTGTATGCCAAATTATTATGTTTTCTTTTTCTTCTGCATTACACCAAATAATGTTTTCCTGAAAGAGTTCTCCAAAACTACATTTGCCTTTTGACTGCTATAGTTACAAATTAAATTATGCAGGGAAAGGGGGTGGGAATCATTCTTTTCTGCATATTAAATTCGCAACAGGCCCTATCCCCTCCAAAAAACTTTTTTTTTTTTTTTTTTTTTTTTTTTTTTTAAGATTTATTCATAGCCACATAAGACAAATAACAGACCATTTTATAGGGCAAACCTTACTTTTCAGAAACATTATGTAAGCTCGCCAGCTCTTTCTCTATAACGGCAAGTTCAGACGTCTTTTCTTTGAGACTGACTTCAGCTTCTCTCTTTTCTTGAACTTTTGACAATATTGGTACAGTTTGTGTACCTGCACCTATTCGGTGAAGAAAACACAAAGTTAATCTAATTGGAATTAGATTCAGCCCTGGCAAGTGGTGAATTCTATATGGTGACTATTATGCTGGGTTATGCTTTGTTCTCGTTACGAACAGAAAAACAGGTGGGCTGAAATTACAACAGCTCTCAACAGGGAGAGACTGCAAACGAATTTTGTGAAATCAAGCAACTTTAAATGTCATTTATGAAATCACGTCAAATTAATTATGAATTACCTCAAAAAATGCTTGAATTCATAGCATTTCTTTAACTTTATTCCAAGAGATTTCAATAGCTAAAAAAAAGATTTATAATACATAGTATTTAAAATAAAAAGCAAGTTACACAAATAGTTTGCCATTTTCTTCCTAGTTTAATACTTTTACTTAAGTGTATGACCGCCAAATCTTTGCTCAAAAAGCATTATTACCAGCAGGAGCCTAAAACAAAAAACATCTCTATTCATTTTTGCAAAAACTTATGCAGAGCAATAAAGAAATCAATAAGAATACAATATTATATGGAAAAAACAGTAATTGCCTCCACTAAGGGTGCCCTGGGGATCAAATACATCTCCTTCAAGCGTAACACTTCTTTTCAATATCCTTCTGTCAAAAGTCACTTTCTTAGCATTATCCAAGCCTTTACAGACCAGCGTTGTTCCAAAGACATATTCCATTGCCTTCTGTAGTTCACAATCATACCCAATTAAAGAAATGGCTAAATGCACATCATCAGAATGTTTGACCTAGAAATAAATGAAACGTAATTAGCATGCCTTAAGATATAAGAATTTTCAAATTCCATTTGTCTTCTTTTGATAAAAATACTTTCCAAAATATCATTACATTTTAAAACATAATTTCAATTAAAAGACAATTAAAACCAGTTTAAACACTGCATAGCTCAACCTATACAAAAGGAAAAAAAAGAAAGATACCCTCAAACCCTGTAGAAATTCTTTTTAGTATGGCTATTACAAAGCTTATATTTTTAGCAATAAATTAAAAAAAAAAAAAGGCAGCACACAAGTTTATTTATTTACATACCAAGCTTTTGGCCAGATTAACAATTTCTTGTGCAATACACTTGGCTGAAATTTTGTTTAGTGGAATGATGGTGTATCGATGCTTTAGCTGACCCTTTTCTAAAAGCTTCTGGCCAGTAGCCTAGAATGAATGAGAAGAGTTACATGTCAGAACATACCTAAATATCTAAGTGATTTGAAAATTAAGATAGTATGGCATTGCATTTGGATTACATTGTTGACAGTAACTATGCATTACCCTTTTGAATTAATCTGAACATGTACACGGGTCCAAACCACCTCTTAAGCATACAGTCATTATGCCCATGCTTGCTAACCTTGAATCCCATGACCTAATCTCAGTATTCAGAGCTTTGTATTAAAGTAATACACATACCTCTGTATCCACAACAATGTGATAGAGTTTTCCTCCACCCACCACTTCTAGGGCTTTTGCTGTGGCTGCATCTTTCAGGGTGAAAAGAGTTACAACAAGGCCCTTCACAAGGCTTGAATCCCAATTCTTTTCTGGATGTCTTAAAAACAAACAAACAGTTATGATAGCCACATGTTCTGTTTTCTCCCCCATATCTTTAAAAAATATATTAAAAGCTATTTCTTACACCATAGTTTGCACTGTTTAGTAAGAATGAAAAATCATGGAAAATAAGCAGCAATAGGTTAAACTAACTACTTTACAGCAAGAGACTTCCCAACAAGTCAGTTACAAAGGCAAAAGAAGAATGTCCTTCCTGATTTTGGTATGATTTGTAGATTTTACTCTGGGTCCTGTTATTATTAGCACAGCTATAGGAATATGTTCTGAGTGATTTTTACATAAGCAAATAAATGTGGGGATAATTATATTTGATTGGTGGAGACAGACACAACATTGACTTCCACAGAGCAAGTTTATTCACAGTCCTCAAAGGGAACTCTAAAAATTAATGGTAATTAATTGTACAGACTGTTGGATACTGTACTTTCAGCTATGAACCTTGACTTCCGGCTTACAAACACCATGTCACTAAACTTTTACATTTAAATGATTTTGATAAGCCTGTATTTTAAGGATGACTGCATCCCTTCCCCTGCTGCTCATTAATTCAGCTAACATCTCCTGACTTTACTCATCCCTCCATTTGCATCAGATAAGATAATCATAATTCACTGCCAGTAAAAGAAAGACAACAGTTAAGGAATTGATAATTCTCTTAAGACCATACGTAAAATGCACCAAAACCCACTTTTAAATGTGTTTCAGGATAACACTGAGATCTTACTTGTATTCAAAATGTAGGTGAGGAAACTTTGCTACTAAGCTGTCATATAACTGTCTCAGCTGAGCGATGTCTTGAGTCAGTTGCTTCTTTTTTTCTAAAAGGTCTCCTTGTTTTGCATCTGAAGAGTTGAACACAAGACACATTCAGAGCACAGAAATCAAGTAGCTTAAAAATCAGTATGCTGCACTGCTTATATAGGTATTTATATAAGTAGAGAATAGAATTTCCATCTTAAACAAATTAGCACTTTAACGAGATTAAACATGCAAAGAGCAAAAAGTCTCATGTCCTTCTGTGAACATGAATTGAAATTGATTCAGCAATATCAATTTATACTTTTGCATATCTTTCATGACAATTGTTATCTGGAATAAGAAACAATAAGACAAATTTTATGTAGGAAAAAAATGGAAAGAAACAGGGAGATGGGTCATTTTTTTCCTTCTAAATTCAAGCTTAAAGCTCAAGCTTTAAAAGTGTTGTCTTACAGTATATCAAATTAAGTTAATTCAAACTACTTTCTGTGAAAGGCAAGAGCTGTTGAGCTTTGACCAGACAAGTTGTGTTGCACATGAAAGCAGTATACCTATTTTTTTCTGTTCCTTCTATATGTCTTCCCAGATTCCCCCCAAATAATTCACCAGAAGTCTATACAAACCTTCATATCTTAGTTTTTCCATTTGATTCTCTAGATTTTCTTTTGCTTTTTTGACAGCTTCAAAGGCTTCTTGGTCTTTTTTGTAGCTCCCATCCATCTTTTTAACTTCCGCTTGTTTTGTCTTTAATTCCTGCTGTGTATATTTTAACTTCATTTGGGCCTATAAGGAATAAGAAAGTATGGAACCAACAGATCTCTAAGGAGAATCTTTGATTATGCATTTAGGACATTAGTACTATCTCAGTCCTCCCTTGATTTCCTTAAAAAAATCCCACTGTTTGTAACAATGGCAAATAGCAGCCCCGGCCTTTAAAATTAAGGGTACTGGTGATTTGTAAATAAAAGCACAAATCATGTATCAGAGTGGGTTTTTGGGCTGTGACCCTCTTAAGCCATGTGTATGAAGACATTGGCCAGCAGGCAACCGGTGTCATGAGACGGCAAGGCAAGAGTTAGTGCTGCTAGCCAACCCCATGGCCAGTTTAAAACAGCATGAATACATATATAAACCCATTCCTGGGGAGCACCAGGGACGAGTAGGACTGCAAACAGGGACAAAAAAGTCTATGTCGCAGTTCATGCAGGAAGGGGAATGCACTCAAGTCAGCAGGTGGCCTGCTCGGCCTGCCTGCTCTGCTCACCAGCTGCCCTGTCAGCCTCCCCAGCCAACAACATCGCTTAAATTCACAGAATCCTCTAGGTTGGAAAAGACCTCTTTAAAGCATTATCAGCTGGGGAGAGAGATACCATTAGGAACACTGACGTTATGCCAAGGGATGGTGTGGCACTGTCTTGAGGGTGGCAGGGATAATGTGAGAATCTGTGCTGCTCCACAGAGCTCTGTGGGCTCAGGAGGACACCTGGAATGCCCAAATAGCAATGCATGCAGTGTGAGGAACAAACAGGACAAACTTGAAGCTTCAGTCCTCTCCCAGAGCTGTGATACCATGGGCATTAGTGAGACTTATAGAAAACATTAGAAAGGCCCACAACTGGAGTGGTGGGGGTGGAGGGCAACTGGCTGTTCAGGAGGGACAGGCAGGGCAGGCGAGATGGAGGTCCTTGTCCTTATGGGCAATTTCAACTTCCCTAACATAAACTGGAAATAGCATACTGACATGACAAGCAAGCCTCAGCAATTCCTAAAACATATTGAAGATAACTTCCTGTCACAACTACAGAGTGAACCAAAGAGGAAAGGTGCCCTCCTAGCTCCATTGTGAGTGCCTTGTGGGACAGGTGATGTTAGGCCACAGTGGCTCTCTTGGCCACAGTGCAACTGCAGCTTTCTTAGGAGGGTAGGTCTCGGTCTTTTCTCCTTGCTAACTGATGACAGTATGCATAGGACCAGCACAAAGCTGCACCAGGGGAGGTTCTGATGAGATATTAGCAGAATATTTTTTTTACCATGAGGGTGGTCAGACACTGGAACAGGCTTTCCTAGAGGTGGTTGGTGCCCCAGGCCTGTCAGTGTTTAAGAGGCTGTACTGGGTCTGGCTGGGATGTTACCTTTCCCTGCAGCAGCCCTAGTGCTCTGCACTTGTAGCTGGAACAGCAGTGTTATCACACCAGTGTTGTGTCTGCTGCTGACCAGTGCTGGCATGGCACTGGGCCTCTCTCCAACCCTCCTAGGGGGTGGGCAAAAAAGTGAGAAGAGAAACATCACCAGGGCAGCTGACCTAAACCAACCAAAGGGATATTCCATACCATATGATGTCATACTCAGCAATAAAAGGTGGAAGCAGGAAGAAGGGGGGAGGGGTGGGCTCTCGTTGAGAAAACTTCGGTCCTCCTCCCGAACACTGGCTACGTGCACTGAGGCCCTGCTTCAAGGATGAGCATCGCTCATTTCTGGGAAGTAGAGAGTAATTTCTTTCCTCTGAACTTCCACATAGCCTTCATTTGTTTCGTTTGTTTTTCTTTTTTTCCTTTCCCCCTTTCCTTTTTTTTCCCTTTAAATTGTTTAGTTAATAATAATCTTTCCTTAATAATAAAAATAATAATGATAATAATTATTTTTTCCATTTAATTAAATTATCCCTATCTCAACCCATGAGTTGTTCTTTACTTTACTTCTTCCCCTCCTCATCTAAGGAGAGGGAGTGAGAGCGCGGTTGTGGTGTTTAGCTGCCTAGCACGGTAAAACCACCACAGTCCTTTTTGGTGCCCAACGTGGGGCTCAAAGGGTTAAGATAAGAACAGAATTGATTAAAACGCTTACAACTAACACACTTATTTGCTAGTCACCATGTTCAGTGTCCTGTTATTAGTGGCTTGTTTGATCATATGTCATGCTATCCGTGCCATGTTCTCCTTTCTCCTCTGTAGCACCATCCTCGGATCGGATATAATCTGTGCTCGTTATTTTTTTGAATTCGCTGCACTGCCAAGCACTGGCCTTGAGTTTAATTCAGGCTCTGCACTGTTATCATTTGGATCTTATGGAAACTAACTTTTAGAGAATATTCAGAACTACACTGCCTTCCTTTCCTCATCTGGATGTCAGTTTATGAATAATGTCAGGAATGGTACCTCCTCCTTCTTTCACAGTGGGCTAATTACAACAGTTTGGAAGTATTTTGAATATCTTTGTGTAACCCATGTATTGCTATTTCAAATTCTGAATAACGGGTTTCCTCTTCTCTCTAAGGTTAGTCGATTGTTTAGAAAGCTTACCCGGGAATCTGTCTCGAAACAGTCTTGTGGCGAGTGGCAAGGTGTGTGGGAGGATATAGGCAGGTACCTGTCATGGGTGTCTCCTCCAATAGTTTTGAACTTCACCCCTGAGCAAGTGCTAAATCCTAAAAACCTGACAGAATGTTTGAGAGTCGTATGTCCTGACCCTCATAATGCCAGAGAACAACAGCTTGCAGCATTGTGCTGTGTCCTGGCTTACTCCTATCAAACACTGTTTAACATCATCCAGCAGCTTGAAGAGTGGGAAGAAGTCTCCGAGTCTGATGACCAGGTAACACATGCTGTGGCTGACCCAGAGGATCTAACCAACTATGGTATCAGTCGCCCCCATCGTCAAGTCAAAACAATGGAAACAGAAGTCAGCTCGTTTAGTAAGGGAAGAAGCCTCTAAGGAGGGAGAAGGGGAAAAGGCAGGCACCTCTAAAGCAGAGCCATCACAAAAACAGCAGGAAGAAGAGATGAAAATCATAAAGGAATCAGAAACCACTCAATCCTTATCCCTGAGTGAATTGTGAGAAATACGAAAGGATTACGGTCGACAGCTAGGTGAACACATCCTCACCTGGCTGCTTCGATGCCAGGGCCAATAGCCAACAATTAGAAGGCAATGAAGCCAAGCAGCTGGGATCCCTCTCTAGAGAAACGGTAATTGACAAATTGGGAGAGGGACACAGGTTCTCAGCCTCTGGAGCTGAGTAAAACCACCACAGGGGCACTGGGACATTGTCCTCAGTAACATGCTTTAACTTTTGGTAGCCCTGAAGTGGTCAGGGTAGTTGGACTATATGATCTCTCAAGGTTCCTTCCAACTTGGAATTCTATTCCAAGTATTTGGATACAGTAATATAAATTAGCACATGAAGAATGTTCAAGAAAGGGAAGAAAAAAGGTAAAATTATGTGGCGGAAAGACACCCTTATTATTTTTTTCTGAAATAATTTTTCCTTAAATGAGACAAGGAAGGTGCACGTTTAACTCAGAAAATTTATATCCATCATAAGAACCACAACAGCAGAAGTTTGCTATCTTAAGACAAAAGATGTGGCATCTGTTTCAGCTGTGTTGCTGGCTCACAATGTAACTAAGGTGAAAACTGAGGAGTTGTTTCTGAACTATCCACTCACAGTCATTTATTTTGATTCTACTAGTTATAATATAGAAATAATTTAATTCCTACAGTGTAAGCATATGTCATAGGTAGCTGTCTTAATTTCTTCCTATTCAATACTATTAGTCATCTGAGTCCTGATTTATGTCTCAAATGCCAGTTTCTGTACTTCCTCATGGCCATGTTGTAGCTTTTCCCTAAATCAGCACAAGATTATTACTTTCTAAATAACCTGTTTAAATCAAAGTTACCTTAATGCTTACGCCTACCTACAAAATATCTTGCACAGATATTCTACAAATCTTTTTCATAGATGTTCCAAGAGTGTGTTAGCAGAGCTTTGACTCTTACCTGTTTAGCCTCTGTTACAGCTTTGCTAATTTCATTTTTGCAGGTCATCATCTGGTCTGCAAGAGTAGCTTCTTCACCATCACCGTTCTTAGACATGCCAGCATGCACAGCATTGAAATTCTGTTGGGCTGCAGCTAAAGCATCTGTGTCTTTTTTATTTTCTTCCTGTAAAGCATTTAGTTCTTCCTGTATCTTCTTTAATTCTTTCTGCTTTGACATGAATGCTTTAGAATCCTTTAGCAAACAAAAAGAAACAAACAAACAAAAAAAGGAACAGAGAACCTAAGTCCAATTAACTTCAAATACACATTTACATGTTGTTCAGATGCATAGCTACAAGTACTTTCACCAACTAAATTTCTGTAACCTTTTGTCAGGTTTTCTGGTTTTGCAATCCGTCTTTGCATATTTCAAATGTGTAGTTGCCCTGTGAGTGCACTGAAAATCTACAGAAAGATGAAAGACAGGAACAGATGACAACTGCACAAGAACTAGCAAAAAAAAAAAAAAAATAGCCATCCCTAAAGTATTTATTCTTTGAGTGTTCCTCTTTCATGAAAATAGAATTAGATGTCAAGAATATTAAACATTTTTTTTTCCTTTAATTTTAAGAATACCAGGCCTCCAGAGTGGAGAACATTTTTTGAAAGAATTGGAATACCCTCCTGAGATTAAAAGAAAGTTGCCAACAATAGAGAGCTTCACTTTCTTCATCATCACATCTGTTTTTAATAGGAGCCTACTACCTGTGCCATGTAAATTAAATAATGCCCTTACTTGTTTCTGCCTTCCTGGTGATATTCTTGCCAATCAGCTTTGGAGAAGTAAGAAAATAGTGCTGTCCCCTCAATCTGAACTACTCTAGCGCTTAAGAAGAAAATTATGTATAAAGGTCTTACCTCCTGCATGCATTTTACCAGTTCTTTGTGCTTACTCTCTTCATTTTTTAAATTCTCCTTCAAGAGATCAAGAGCACTTCTTGCTTTAGCATCAAGTCTTTGAAGTTCTGAAAGAGTAGCTTCAAGTGACTGGAACGCATCACCAATTTCCTACAATCAGAAACAACAGAAATGTAATGTAATGATACAGTATCTGTAATATTTCACCTGTTCACAGATATGCATGCATAGATGATGAATGAAGCAGACAGACTCCAATGCAAACAGGCTACATCCTGTATTCCCTCAGAAATACAAAATGATTTGAAGCCACTAGAGCTCAACACTAGTTATGATGGGATACTGCCCCTGTACAAAAGCTGCATTTCGGCATCCAAACACCCTGTGGGCTCTATCCTGGATCTAACCAATTTTGCTGCCCCCATAACTGAGGTCACTAGTGACTTGAACGTGTTTCCTGTTTGAAATGTGTTTCTTTTGAGATGCTAACAAAAAGTGAAAAAAAAAATCCTGGCAAAGTTTACCATTGAATGCACAATGGAAACAAGCGGAAAACCTTATCTTTTTCAGTTACTAATTTACAGCAATTGGTAATAAAGCCTTTCAGACATGAAAATCTTAAATGGACATCATTTAGACAGTGGCTGTGAACGATAATGAGCAGTGTATGAGCTAAACAAAGTGCCACAGGAAGATAAAAATCAAAGGGTATATTATCTAGAAAAGTAATTTCCTGCTCATATAATTCCTTCTATTAATACTTTCAGACAAGTACATCTCACCTTGTTCCTTTCCTCTTCCAACTCTGCTATTTCTTTCTGAAGTTCCTTTGCCTTCTTCTCATTCTCAGCCAATGATTCTTGAATCTTTCCTATCTTTGTCTGTGCTTCCTTTAATGTATCAGCAGTGTGTACTTTTGTCTCTTCAGCCAGAACAAACTGATAGGCTATGCAGAGGCGGCTGAAATGCTCTATTTCTCGCACTATGTTTTGGTACTCTAGATAGAACATTCGTTGCTGAAAAGAAAAGATACCAATTAGAAGAAAAAACACTAAAATTTAGTGGAAAAATATTATTAAGTAGGACTGCTATAGAAAACTTCTAAGTATTTCTAACATTACTGATATATGTTGATAAGAGGAAGGATATTGTACATTGTACATTGTACAAGGATATTGTACATTCTATTGTACATTGCAAACCTGCTTAAGAAAATCCTAGATAAAAGTACACTTGTAGCTGATTCCATAGCAGGAACTCCACTTGACACAGGATTTTTAAGAACTAAAATAGAAATTTAACTGCTATTTTTATTACTTCTCTTGTTTAGTTCTTTCTCCTTACATTTCTCTTCAGGATTTCTTGCAAGTACTGCACGTAACATTGTCTGCATTTGGACAGAAGATAAATTTTATATCTCCTAAAAGATTCTACAAAGCCTGAAAACATGTTAAGTCTTAGCTACCACACACTAGTTCAGAGCTGCTGGAAGTATTCAGTACTTTAAGGCCTCTGCCACTCTTCTAATTATTACTTACCTCTTTCAGTTTCTCTAAACTTGGAGTGATCTCTTCATTTAAGACCTGAAACACAAACCAGAACATCTGTATTCGGATTTTTAAAACTCTGAGTGTTAATGGCTAGTTCCACACACAGAAGTGAAATATTGTACAAGTTAAAAAAAAAAAAACGCGCTGCACTAGTTACTCAGTATCTAGAACAACTAAAAGAAAGTACACTTTCCAACATATAGTACCGTTTGAATTTCTTTCAGTTTGGCTTCCTTCTTCTCTATGGTTTTCTGGACAGCCATTTTCTTGCATTCATACATCCTAGTACCAGCTGCTTCTTCAACCATTGACAAAATCTAAAATAAAACATCAAAATTCTAACGTTACTTCTTTGTATAACGTCAAACAATTCAGAACTGAGTTGAACATCATATATCCCTACTTTTTGTTGTTGTTATTTTCCACCCAAAATACTGATTCCTGTCATTCAAAATAAACCAGTAAAATTCCAGAAAAAAAAATCCCACAGTTTTCTTACCTCTGGTGGCTTCATATTTAGGACTTTGGTAATTCGTCCCTGGTTATAGAAAGATAAATCAAAAATGATGACGATTTACCATGCTATACTAAAAAATAAAATTAAAAGTCACACATAAATTTTATATGCTATACTGCAAGCTTAAACACTTTTTTTTTTTTCCCTGTAAGGATAATCTAGTTTTATACAATCACTTTGCAAATCTTAAACCACTTCTTAATTGTAGGTTGGCTGTTTGGTCACTTAGCTTGTATCTGACAAGGGGGAGCAGAATGGGTGCGATACTGACTTTTTAAAAATAAATAAATAAATAAGTAAACAGGAAATTGGGACAATGCTATTTTGTGATACGTGGAATAATAATTCATGTCAAGAAGATGGTTGATGTTAATAAAGAAGGAGGAGATGGGGGAGTGTGGCCATGGGGTTCAAAAGCCCTGTGGTTGGTGATAACATCTTAACAATGAGGCCATCGGGAATGTAAAGAGTTTAGAGGGAATAAAGAAGGGTGATTCAGGAGCCACCCCATGCCATGCCAGTCTCAGGTTGCTTGTTCTCCCGCTCTTAAGGCATGGAAATTGCTGGGGGGTTGCTGGCTGCTGTGCAAAGTTGTTTGACCAATGACAAGTTGTTTGAAAAGGACTGCTGTGGGGTGAAGGGTATAAGAAGGGAGCCTGTCCTCAAGAAAAAAAAAAAAAAAAGAAAGAAAACATGATACAATGAAGTTACGTCATCAATAAATCAGTAGAAAAAATAAATGAATAGGGACAGGCTAGCAGAACAAGGACCAGGACGGGAACAGGCACATTGATCGCCTCATGAAAATAGGTTCAGCCAAAGTCAGCAAACCGCTCAGAGAAGCTTGTACAGAAAGTCGCTGGAAATAGGCACACCGGAGCTGGAAAGAAACTCAAGCTGAGAGAAGCAGACCCTCGCTGGTCAGCAGTTGCGCATTATGGGGAATCATACGTCCTAGGAACAAAGACTGTCCTAGTAACCTTACAGCTTATTCCCTTTATTAACAATCGGACAGTTTATGATCCTGAAACATGGGACCAAATTGAGGTCAGGGTGTGGGACTCTGCTACGAAAAACGACAAGGTTGCACTGGGATTGCTCGGCACCTGGCGAGCAGTCTCTGAGGCCCTAAAGAGCCATGTGGAGCCACAAATCAGAAACGTGTGGATTGCCAGATAGTGAGGGAACTGCTGGTTCGTTCACCGGCATTCCTGCTACACCATCAGCCCCTCTGCTGCTACAGCCATCGCAGGCCTTTGCTGTTACGCCCCCTGCTGATCTGGATGTGCCTTTTGACCCAGGCCCTACAGGCCCTGAAAAGGAGATGGAAATGTTTCCCTTTGAAGGGGACACATAAGGCCCAAAGGCCCAGTTGCTGAACAACTTAAAGCGAAACATATTGTTCCCACGACTAGCCCTGGAATTCTCCAGTGTGTGTAATCAAGAAAGGAATGGAAAATGGAGATTGTTATATGATCCAAGAAAAATTAATGAAGTCATGGAAGATGTGGGAGCACTTCGACCAGGATTACCAACTCCAGCTATGCTCCCCCAGTCATGGACATTATTAGCAATAGCCTTCAAGGATTGTTTGGTAAACACTTGCCTTTTAAAGCTTTGCCATATTTATGTTTCAATCGATACTTTTTCTGATTGTGCATCTGTGTAGGTTTAGTATGTTAGTATGTTATCCGTGGGTTTTGTATGTTAAAGCAATGTTCTGTATATTTAGAAAGTTCGATGTTTGTGTGTGTGTGTTGGTAGAGTGTAGACTCCCTGTGCACCCGGCGCTGTTTACTTGCCTTTTATAAATGTTACTAAATTCAGATTGAGTTGTATCTTCATTTATAACAATTTGAAACAGTAAAGCCTATTATATTTTATTATTCCATCCAAATATTTCAAAGATTTATTTAGTCCTTGTATTAAAATTTGTAAGGGTCTTTTCACTTGATCGACTTGTCTCAACTGGTATATCAACTTCATACAAAATATTGATTAACATAGAATTTACCAAACAGGAAAAAAAGCGTTTTTTTAAATGCAATACTAAGAGAAAAACTTATCTGATAAAGATATAAAAAGGGAAACAAAATTGGTATATGTTTTTACAAAAACCCTACAATAAGGCATATGAGAAGAAAGAGTAAGAGCTGAAAGTTATGTTTCTGCTGGAAACCTTAGCTACATAATAAATATTTGACTTGATTAAGCTGCTTTTCGTTAATTAAGAAATTAAGTGTTCTTCCACTACCTGTCCTGCCACAAATTTAATGACACTTCTATACTTTTTGGATTTTAGATTTTTGGATTTTTTTGCACACAATACCTGCATGATGAGAAAGTGAGGGTTATTGACATTGAGTCCAACAGAACAGAAGAGGTCCTGTACACGAGTGTTGGTAGCATTCAAGCCATTGATGAGATACTTATTTTTACCTCCAATGACAACCTGGGCAAGAAAGAGGAGCAGAAGAAACTTCATATCATTTAGAAGCAGCTTGATTGTGGGAATACAAGCTAATTACTTAAAGGGATCAAAAATCTGAGTAAGTCCCATATTATATAGCCTTGCATACACATATGAAACATCAAAACAGATCTGATCGGTATTTCAGATGTCTTTTTAGTGCTAACATAAAATAATCAGTCACAGAGGGCAACATTTTTGTTCTGGGTTTACAAGACAACTTCCAAACTCTGCAGGTTTTCTTATAAAGGCTCCTGTGCTCTTGGAGACAAAATTCAACACACAGGTCAGAAATTAAGAAGAAAGACATAAAATAGAAAATCAGAACTTGTTTTAGGAGCATAATACCACTGCTATTACGTTTCTGTGCAACTCTGTAGAAAACATTATTGATATACTACATTTAATTATATAGAAAACATTATTGATACACTGTATTTAATTATGCTAAATTTATTTCCCAAGTAATTTAAAATTTTAATCTAGTACACTGGTTCCACTTCTACAGTCTGTTACTGATCACACTGTGGAAACATTGCCTCACTTACAAAAAGTCAAGAAGTTTAAAATTTAAGTTTTTTCCCCCCTTTAAGAATCACTCTATTGAGTATGGTAAAAATGTATGCAGATTTCTACACAAATACATACATTAAGAACTCACCTGCCTGGTGATGGTGATCTCATCACAGCTTTCAAATCCCAGTGGGCTCCGTTTCTTGTCAGTATTGTCAAAGATAATGGACACAGTTGCTTTACTAACTCCTGCTTGTCCATTTTTATAAACAAGATCCTGCAAGTTGGCAGCTCGCACCTAAACACATGGAATAATTTTTAAAAAAATTTGAATGAACTTCAAAGTGTTTAAATGTGAAGAATTTCAGAACGTGTAAAACCACAGGCAGAGCATTCACATTATAGTGAGTTACCTAGCTGTTTCTGCATGAGATTCCTGACAAAAACAGGATGTCTGTTTAGAAGAATAAAAAGCTAGATGACTAGTTCATCACTAGTGTCTGTATTTTAAAAATATTTATTCCCTATGCAGTTCAGAAGAAAGTGAAACAGAAAGTGTTCCTTAGAGGTCTATTCAATTGGCGTAGAATTACAGTGGGGAAAACAACATCACATGAGAACAAAGACTCAGTTTGATCTCAGCACACACAATGTTTACATAATATGCGTTTAATACAAACATACGTATTTTCTTTTAAATGGCAACCACTGTGAGAAAACGGCTTTTTGCTTCTTCTGATGAAACAGCTGGTCAAATTTTGGCAATCTGATCGAGAAGTGCAGAGGTTTAATGCAAATAAGCAAGTTTTGCCTTTAGTCAGCCTCAGGCTGCTGCCTCCGAAGTGGTATCTTTTCGGACAGAGGCACCACTTCGTGTCTTCCGCCAGAGACCACTCAAAAGGCGGTAACAAAATGCTGCTGACGGAAGAGAGGCCTGTTCAATCCTCCTTACCTGCGTCAGGTTGGTGATGCCCAGCACGAAGCAGATGGAGTCCAAGATGTTCGACTTGCCGCTGCCGTTCAGGCCGGTGATGGCGTTGAACAGCGGGTCGAAGCCGTCGATCTCCGTCCTCTGCGCGTAGGACTTGAACCCGTCAAGTATGATCGACTTGATGTGCATCTTCCCAAGCGACCGGGCCGCGTACTCCTCCCAGGGATACGGAGAAACGACTCTTGGTTGTAAATACCTGTTTTGAGGGGAAAAATATATAATAAATTAAAAAAATAAAAAATAAAAAATCGCGTTTTGTGTCAGGCACAGCTGAACGCCAACGGAAACGGGAGGAGAACACGGCTGTGGGAAAGGAAACAAAGGGAATTTTTTACCCCGAAGCCTACTTCGGACCTCGGACCAAGGAAAATAAAGGCTAATTATTAATATCTCAGGCGAAGAAATAACTGGAAACAGACCCCAGCAGCCCGCCCGGCCCCGCTCCTCACAGACAGCACCAACCGCCACCAACCGACGCTTCAATTTTGGCGCCCGCGGCCGTTGCAAGGCTGCGCCCCGGCCGTGGCTGTCCGCCGCGCTGCCTGTCTCCGGTGGCGCGCTTCGCACCGTTCCTCCTGTCTGGGGAGGGAGGGAGAGGCGGGAGAGGGCCGCTGCTGGTTGGAAATAAACGAAATAAAAAGAAAAGGGCCCCGGGCGGGGCGGGTGGCGGCGCGCTCGGGTCAGGCGATCGCGCAGGGCGGGCGCTGCTGGGGGCTGAGGCGGGCAGCCCTGAGGCGCGGGGGGGGGCCGTGTAAGCACAGCGGAGGAACGCTGCTCTGAACAAAATAAGTGCAAAAATATTTTTGTGGCTGTTCACCATTACAGAGTTGATTCCACTTGTGCCTAATAAAGACCAGATTCAAAGCTTGTAAATGTGTTTCCTTGCAAGAGCACTGGGTGCCTGGTGTTGTGTTGGTTGTGATTAAGGAGGCATTGGGGAGGCACTGGGGAGGCAAGGACAATCCCCAGACATGGACTGTATATCTCGAAACAAGACATGGGAACTCATGATAAGGAAGCGGCAGACGGACAGAGAAACAAATGTAAGGATTATACATCTCAAAACTGGACATTGGAGTTCATTATAAAGATAAAACAAACGGAAGAATTAGCAACAACCAGCGCTTGCAATTAAGAAACATGCCAACTCAGCAGATTCCTGCTGATAAATTCAAGACTGCTTTCCGCTTTGGGTATGCACGATAGGTGGAGAGATCCCCCGTGCATCCAGCGCTGCAACAAAGAATATACCACTACAAGGAATTTTGGCTTTGATCTTTGAATCAATATATCACAGAATCACAGAATTTCTAGGTTGGAAGAGACCTCAAGATCATCGAGTCCAACCTCTGACCTAACGCTAACAGTCCCCACTAAACCATATCCCTAAGCTCTACATCTAAACATCTTTTAAAGACATCCAGGGATGGTGACTCCACCACTCTCCTGGGCAGCCTGTTCCAATGTCTAACAACCCTTTCGGTAAAGAAGTTCTTCCTAACATCCAACCTAAAACTCCCCTGGCACAACTTAAGCCCATTCCCCCTCATCCTGTCACCAGGCACATGGGAGCACTTATATTATATATAAATGCTTCAGGAATTAGATCTGATGCAGCTGGGTCATTGCATCTGGCTAAGGTATTACTGTGACAACGTTGCTTCTAGCAGTCGTGTAACCAGGAGGCATGTAATGATGTCCTGTCAGCTGCTAACACCTGGACACCACACTGAGAAGAAGTATTTTGAAGTACTGGGAAGAACCACTCTGAGCCAATGTGACTGTGCAGTCACACTAAATACCAGTTTTATTTTCAAATCATTTATATGTAAGGCCAAAAAAAAAAAAAAAAAAAAAAAAAAAAAAAAAAAAATCTGTGTCGGGCATGCTTGAGTGTTTGTTGCCTGAAGACCAGATCCAGATTGGTTTCTGTGAGAAGCAGCTGCTTGTGCCAGGCTGCAGGCAGCACCTGCTTGCTCATCAAAGGGCCAGAGTGGTTGCTGAGTGGTGAATCATGCTGGGGGCTGTGAGCCCTGGTGTAGCTGCTCCAGCAGTTCCTTCTCCTCCTGAAACCTGAGTAAGAAACATGAAATAAGGAGGAACCGCTTCTGGTATGAGAAGCTTCCAACTGTAAAGATAACCATGTATGTTCTCTGCTTGCAGGTGACATGTACAGGAGAGACAGCTTTATCCTTTCTGAAGTGTAAAAGTAAGCCGTAAAAGTTGAGTACTTTATTTGGTGTCATGGTAGAATGTTTTAATGCCAATTTTCAATTTTGAAAAAATGCAGCTATTTGATCTGCAGTTATCTTGTCGCTGTGGATATAGCATGTTTACTGAGGAAGGAAATTATGTTTATAGCAGCTGTTTATTATTGAGAATTTTCAATTCTATTATGTGATTGTGTATTATACCAAACGTATGGCAGATACCTTTCCTAACTCTGAAGTCTTAACTAAATATTCTGGCAAAGCAAACATACAGTATAGCTTCGTTTCTTTAAAACAGGATTATTTTAGGAATTAGGAAGGGGGTTGATTTTATTAAGTACATGGTAGTAAAACACAAGTTAATGATACAACCAGCTCAGAAAGTATTTTTTTTGTTGTTTTTTTTTTTTTTTAAATCACTAGTGTGCTGGCAGTTGATGAATCTAAACATTGAAAGCACGTTACAGTAGATACATAAAATACAGCACTGTTTTTTTATTTCATGAGATGAAGCACTAAGTCTTTTGTGTGGACAAATATTATAATTGTAAGGGTTTGGGATTTCTTTGCAAATCAAGCTATGATGCTATTGATAGTTGGGAGGAGATAATTGTTTGTTTTTCTTTCTGAGGGCTCCGTTCTGGTGAAAGACATTAGGGTGTGTTCAACCAGAGTAAATCTCTCATGAAATTTTTCTGTTTCTTCAGCTGTTTTGAAGAGTGTCATGTGGAAACCTGTTCTAAATAATAAGCAGAAACAAGCAAAATAAATATTAGGGGCAAGGAAAGTTACGATGTTATATTAGTTTTAGTTCATTGGGTGTTAATGCTTGTGGTTGTTTATACCAAGTAAACACTCCTTCTTGTACAGGAAGCTAATTATGAGTTGTGAGTGCAAGTTGCCATTATGTATTCATAGAATAATTTAGTTTGGTAGGAACTTCTGAGAGTCTTTTGGTCTGAGCACATGGTCAAAGCCAGACCAAGCAGATCAGCTACAGTCCAGGTGCAGCTGAGTTCAAGTTCAGTGTGGTGGGGATGGGTCAGCCCCTTGAGCCTGCTGGCTGCACACCTCTACACACATCCTGGGATGCAGCCTTCTTTGCAGCAAGGACATGCTGCTCACCCCCATGCTCTTTTTGTGCACCAGGACAACCTCCTGGTTGTTGGCTGTTAAGTTGCACTCCATCCAGCCCATGCTTAGCTTGTCTTGCCCTTTGCAGGGGCTACTTTGCAGTAGCTGTTGAACTTGTCAAGGTTCTAGTTAATCCATTTCTTCAGCCTGCTGAGCTCCTTGCAGTAGCATGCCTGCTCTGAGGCATGTTGACTGTTCTTCCCAATGTGTTACAGCACACGGACCTCCTAATGGTGTACTCTACCCACTGTCCCAGTCATTATTGCTCCTGATATGATCCCTAAGGATTTTGTACCACTGAGCACAATTCTTCAGGTCCATCAACCTGGCCAGTTCTCTAATTTATTATGCATTTGTGCACCGTTTTATATCACCATCTGGCTATTTCTGTACTGTAGGAGATTGTGTCAATGATCAGTTTATCACTGATTCTTGGCTGTCTTTATGTAGGATGACTTGCTTAAATGTTATTAATAAAAAAAAAAGTTTCTCAGTCTAAAGCAGATACAAATTTCCTTGCACCGAGCAATAGCATCTGAGATCCACTAGAGTTCGTTGTGGTTCAGTTTCCTTGGACTTTTTGGACCACACGTTAACTGGTAAATCCACTCTGTTACTCAAAGTTTGATTCGCACATTGAAATTCATAAATCTTGCAGTTTGGGAAGGGAAGCAAGAACAAAGGTTTAACACCAGATCAAATATTAGGCCGGCAATTTAGAAATTCTTGTATTCCTTCTGCCAGATAACTGAGACCAAAGTGTATTTCTAGTCTAGAATAAAGGTTGGTTCTTATTAGGGTTTTGGTGTTTCTTGTGGTGGTGTTTTTTCTTATATTGTTTTGTTTTGTTTTCTCCCTATGTTAGTACTAAAGTCTTTGTCTGAGGTGGAAAGTGTGTATCTGCTTAAGCTGATGTTCTCATGAAGAATCCTTTGAGAACAAGGATCCTGAAGTAGAGAGTGAGACCCAAAATAGTCTGCAATCCACCTCAGTGCATAAGGAAATAGGATATTGCACAGTGAGTTTTCTAATGGCAAACTCCTCTGCCAGAGCAACAAGCTTGAAGAGCTATTGTTTTCCGGGTCTCCACTTGTGTAAAAGATTAGTAAAGCAGCCTCAGGGAATCACCATGACAACGCTCCCATGAAGATTTGGAGAGGCCCAGCTCTTCACAAAGCAAAGGGGCTGAACTAGACAAAGGGAGGTAGGCAGGCTAAGAAGGGAGGAAGGGAGGTGGTGGTGGAGGGATCATTTTTTTATTCAGGTCTACAAATCTGCAATGTTTTAAATGCCAGTGGAAAATGTAATTCTTGTTATCACTCTCCCAAGTTTGCTTGTGGTAGACTGCATGTAAACTTGAAACGGGGACTGCATTTTACCTTGTTTCCACAGGGAAGGAGGGCTTATACTGTGTAAGCTTCATATGTATGCATTTCATTTTCAATTAATATTTTCCGTAGGTGATGAACTTTGAAACAGTAAAAAGGATGGAAGAAGAAACCCTGGAAGCGCCACGGTGGCTGAAGATATGTGCCTTATGAGACACTGGGAACATCTGGGTGAGAAAGCAAGAGTATAGAGGGAGAGAAGGAGGAAGGAAGGAAAGCAGGACAGGAAGATACACAGATTGTCTACAGATTGTAGGAAATGTCTCAGAGTTCACTGAACTAGTCAGTGACTATCAGCTGTTAGAGACAAATCTGTCAGCAGCAAGCACCACCAGGAGAACAGCTTGTCTTTTGTGGCATCTGGCAGGCCTAGGACGGCGTTATCCAAGGATGCTCCTGTTCTCTTATCCTTTAATCTGTTCCATGTATCTGTTTCAGTCTCCTTAATACAGATACACTGCGATGGTAATGAATTTGTCTAACGTGCAGACCTCCAGATAACAGCTGTGTCTCAGGTAGGCTGGAGCAGTGAGTTTCCTTCTTGAAGCTGGTTGCATGTATCACGAGCAGGAGCTCATTCAAAGATGAATCTGCACTTGTAATGTTACAGAAATTCAGAACATGGCCTCAGAGGAGTTGCAGGCACAGGTAAGTATATGTGTAAATTCCCTGATGTGTACTCAAAGCAGTACAGCAGAGAGGGCCAGAGTTGTCTCATTAGGGCATGACAAGGGTCTGGGGTGCTTAACCTTTGTAGAGGTTAGGTAATGGACAGCAGAATGAGGGAGGGAGCCCTCACCTGCTGGGCTTAGTTAGCCTTGAAGTTCTGCAATGACTTTACAACATCAAATACAAGCCTCTGTCCTTCTCCTCTGAAACAGAATACCTTGTTTGATGTAGTCAAGTTTAGAGTTTCAATTAAATGTTGAAATCTAAGGTGAATGTAACTTAAAAAAAAAAAAAAAAAGTTAGCTTTGGCAGCTGTAAAATAAAGCAAAGGAAACATTTCTCATGCAGGCATGTCCCTGCAAATGAAGGAAGCTGAACTGCTGTGCCGTGGTATGTCTCAATAGCTCTGATGAAGTTTTGCAATTCATGATGGTACAGCATGTGTTTGGACTGTATCAAGGGACAGTAGAGAAAGCTCTATAAAGAAGCCTTTGGTCCCCAGGAAGTCACGACTGAGGACCTTTGGCACTGTTTGTCTGTCCAGGTCACCTGCAGTATTCTCGTTTCGCTCTTACCTGTGGGCTTCTAAGTTATTCTTTCCTATCGGGTATTTTTAATATTTTCATCTTGGGTGTGGAGCCAAGGACTTTCCAGCTTTGTGTGCTGCCCTGCCAGGGAGGGAACAGCTGACCTCAAATGGCCAAAGGGGTGTCCCATGCCACGAGGTGTTGTGTGAGACAGTAAAACTAAGAGGGTTGGCAGGGGGGCTGCTGCTGCTCAGGGACTGGCCGAGCATTGTTTGGTGGGCGGTGAGTAATTGCGTTGTGCATCACTTGCTTTTTTTATTCTGTTATCCTTGTTTTCCCTTCATTTTCTGTCATTTCTCATCGTTACACTGTCTTTGTCTCAGCCCATGAGTGCCACCCCTCTTGGATGTGGCAGAGCACTGATGTCACAGAGATCGCTGATGCTCTCACCGACACAAAAAGCTGCTTTGCAGCACTGAGGCATCAGTCCCAAGCAGGGTGGCAGCTGTGTGGGTACAAAAGGTGAAGGCTGAACCCCAGGAGTGTTGTGACGGAGCAGTGATCCACCCGGCGAGGCCAGCAGAAACCCACACGTGCTTCTCAGAGGCACAGCGTGCTGAGAGAGCCATGTCCCCAGGCCCCCTGAAACGCCTGCTGCGGGCAGGGGAGTTTGGCCTCCTGCGCAACGCACCGTTGTTTGAGAGCAACTTCTTCCAGGTAGGGCTGGGCAGAGGTTAGACATCCTGCCTCTGAAAGCAGGCTCCCGTGCTACCAAATTGCACCCACACAGGTTGGCCCGCGAGGGGAGATGCTTCCAGTAACAAACCGTGTCCACCTCATCACCATGGGGGTGGCCTGCACTGCTCCCAGCGCAGCGATGCCCGACACCTTGCTCCTGGCTGCCCCTGCGGCCCCTCCAGCTGAGGGACTGGAGCTCACCAGGTACCGCCTGGCCCCATAACCAACCTTCCCTGCCCTCCCTGCCGTGATGTGGGGCAGCCCCAGAGGGGCTGTGTCTGCTGCTGTGCCGTGTCCCCTGGAACTGGGGGGGAGCACCCCAGTAACTCGATTTTCCTCCAGGCTGCTTCCACTGCAGTGCGTAAATCTGGCCGTGCAGGAGCTCTCCGAGGAGCGCCTGCAGCTCTGTTTCCACACGGGCCGCAGGGTATTTCTTCAGCTGTGCCCTGGCCCCGGTGTTCAGGGCCTCTTCCTCTGCTGGGCCATGCTGGCAGGCGTGCTCCACGCACCCAGGGCGCCTCCTCTCCTCAACACACACGCAGAGGGGGCCATGCCTATGGAGGGGGCCTCCTCTACATCAGAAATAGAAGAGGACACGAGAGCTGGCATTGTCCTGCCCACGGACCAAGAATCATCATCTGCAGAAATGGACGAGACCTCACCTGCTGCCAGCACCCCAGAGGTGAGGTCTGACACTGGGGGGGGAGGGGGGACACCACTGGCCAGCAAGGAATGGTCCTAGCAGGCCCTAAACTTGTGCCCCGCTTTGGTTTCCTCTGCCAGGTCATCCCCGAGCAAACCTGTGCAGAGCACCTCAGCAGCAACCAGGATGCCCTGCTGACCAGCACCACGCAGCAGACAAAGTTGGTCTGCCACAGGAAAGGTGACAGGTGAGTGAGTGAGTGGGGCCATTCAGCCAGGAGAGGGGTTGAAGGAGCCTGAAGCACTGCGTGAGGCCATGCAAGAGTTGTGGGGGGACATTGCTCAGGGCTATTGTTTTTGCAGGCTGCGGGAGGTGCCAGCAGCACAGAAGAAGCCTTCCTCTGGTGAGATCCTGCCCCTTGGAGCCTGGGTGCACCCCCCAGAGCCAGGATTTGTGCGCAGGGGGCAGGCTGTGCCCCCCTTATGTGTGCTCCCCCTCTCCGCAGGTCGCAACTGCAGTCAGAGGATTAGGGCGTTCTGGAGGCGGTGGTGGGCCCACGGGCGGGCCTCCGTGGCAGGTGTTGCTGGAAAAGCAAAGCCCCCACGGGATGAGCAATAAACACGTTTTGTAGGATTTGTGTCTGTGGTTTTGGGGTAAGGGCTGATATGGGTCTTGGGCACTTTGCTACTGCCCTGCGGTCATTCTAGTCCCCATGATGGGCCGGGCGTTTGGGCTGGGGAAATGGACTGTAGCAGTGCAAGTTGCCCCTGTAACCGAGACAAAACAATGGGTGAGAAAGAGAAGGATGAGAAATGGATGAGGCCTTGCCTGCTTCCAGCACTGGAAAGACCCCTGCTGGGTCTTAGTTTCGCTTTCCCTGCACAAGCTAATTCAGCAGAGCAGCTGAACCTTTCAGGGTGACAGCCTCGCAGCAGGTGCTCCGTGGCATGGCCTTTTTCCTGTGCAATGACTTCTCACCTTTGGTCTTTGCCCTCCTTCTAGGGCTCGGCAGCTTTGCATGAAGGAGTGAAGTTGCAGCTTTGTTTCACAATGCAGCGTCATGCTTGCTCAGATGTTTGCAGCATACATAGTGCCTGCCAAACCTAGCACGGGAGTGGTTTGCCTTTACCTCATTTTTTTTTTTTTTTACTACAGGGAAAAAAAAATTGGACAAATAATTTTAATAGCTAAGCCAGAGAGGATGAACAGGTGATTTTTGCTAAGACTTACTGGCATTTACAGTTAGAGGCTGTATTCACTCCCAGGTAATTGGCAGTCCTGTAGTATACAGGGAATCCCACAGCAACTTCTGAGTTATGACTGCCTTGACAGGCTTTACAGCCAGGAATTTACTGCCAAGAAGTCCTTTTGAAGGGAAGTGCATATTTAAGTATTTAGGAAGTTCCTTATGCTGATGCCTGGCAGATTCCTTTGAAATGCTGCAGAAAACTGCATGAGGTGGATCCGTAAGGGGACTGGATCGGATGCTGGCTTCCTGAACAGCTTTGTTGTTGGGGTGGCTGGTGTCACCGACCTACAAACTGTCCCTCTTGGCTTTTAGGCATACCCCTGTCTTTCAGTGCAGAAGTTTAGCTGTTCCTGCTCTAAGTGGAAATAAAGGAAATAACTACCACAGCCATATCTGCATATTAATTGTGACTGGCAGCAAGATGAACTGTTAGCCTAACCCCAAATTTGCATTGGACTGGCTTGCTACTGACAGGCTTCTAAGACAATTTTGTACTAAGCTGGCAAGCACAGGCTAGGAAACCATACCCTAAAGACACAAATGTTTGAGGTTATTTAGGGAAATTTGATGTCTTTACTCTTTATGCAGCTCATGATACAGAGAGCGCACAAAGTAAATGTACTATTGAAACACATAGGGACTGACAACAAAGACAACAAAGTCGATTCACAGTACAGTGGTTGGTGGTCTTAAAGCTGAGATAGTGGCTATGACAAGTTCAGTTCACTAAAGGTTTTACTGAACCACTACAAAATGTGGCCATTTATCCTGTAGAGTCCTTTAATCAGAGTTGGGCAACTTCCTCCTTATCAATTCATGTCTAAGCACAGAAGAATCAAGCTATCAAGAGATAATGGTGGGAAGGTAAAGAACAGGGCTGGAGCCTTGAGGCACACAAAGAAGAGACAAAAAGCAGAGAGCAAGTCGTTAATGACTCAGGAGGGTGGGACAGGACGGCTGCGAGGTTCCTATGCACGTGTGGCTGCTGGCTGAGCCAGCACCACTGACACGGAGAGTCCCTGGTTGGAGTGCCATGGGATGTGTGCCTGGGTGCAGGACACGCTGCTAGGAAAAACACGCCTCGGTGCTCGTGAGCATGGGAGTGAAATCGGAAATCAGCTTTGTGTTAATGCAGACTCAGCTTTTCCCCCTGTGAGCCCTGTTACTGGGTTCGCTGCGTTGTTGCTGCAGCATTGCAGCACAATTTTGGGGGGCACAGGTGAGCACAGCTGGTACCACAGCCAGAGCAGCAGCGGATGGAAAGGGCAGGGAGTGCTGCCTGCACTCCCAATAACAATAATAAAAGAATGTAGGCCAAACGCAGCAGCTGCTGCTAAGTTTCCTCTGACTTTTGTGCTGCACGCAGGGTCTGGGTGCTGCTTTCGGCCTCGCTCCTTAGCACGGAGACCTTTGGCATGAAGCCCTGGCAGCCTTTGCATTGTGCAGGGTTATTTGCACGGGGAAGCAAGGAGCAGGAGGCAGTGGAGCTCTGGGACAAAAGTGTTGCTGCAAGCTGGGGCAGGATGTGTGTGTGTGTTGTTTTTTTTTCGGGGTAGCTGGGGATCCATGCAGGAGGAGGGTGAATCACGGTAGGTGCACCAGCCTGCACAAGGTTGGCTCTGGGCCCGGGGCGAGTGGACTGAGGGCGGTGCTCCCTCTGCTGATAAATGCCTCGAGAAACACTGTCTTGCCTTCCAGGACGCCTGTCGAGGAGCCCAGACCCCGGCAGCACCAGCTACAGAAGCCTAGGACCTGGACTTGGCAGCAGAAGACAATTTTCCAGCCACCTCTTCCAAGTATGAGCCCCTCTTCCTCTGGGTTTGTGCATGTGCTCGCTTACAAGCAGGAGGAAGGGAACGAGAGGGTAAAACAAACACAAGCCATGTGTTTGTTTCCACGTTGCACAGAAAATGCTGGTGAGGATGTGCTCCCTGCTCCAAGCCCTGAGCTTGGCAGCCGCAGAAGCTGTTAATTTAGACATGTGGGGTGTCACCGGCAGGCTTAGTATGAAGGAGTGTTTTCTTGCCTTCATATTCCTGGCTTGCAGGAATTTGTTTCAAGCTTGTACAGGTCCAGATTCACCACTCATCTCGTGTGACCAGGGCAAAATAGCAAGTTCAGCAGTTTTTTTTTTCTTCTCTCTCTCTTTTTTTTTTTTTTTCTTTAAACCAGTGGATTTTCTTTAGCGCGGGAGCTGTGCCTCCTGCTGGGGCTGACCTCCCACGCCTGGCTTGCAGCCAGCCAGGCTGCTGGACAGTGAGCATGCTTTGTAGAGATGTGCAGGGGCAGATGCTGCTGCGGGGTGCAGGCAGAAGCCTCCTGGTGTGACAGCAGGCAGTCAAGCTTGGGCTTCTGTGCTCCCTGAAATCACAAGCAGCCCCAGCGAGCGGCTTGACGCTGTTCGGTGTCTCTTTGGCAGGCGCTTACCGACTGTGCTGTTTGTTTTGCAGAATGGTGACTGCCAAGGTGTGGGTGCTGAAGAAGCATTTTGAGGGCTTCCCCAAGCCCAGCGACTTTGACCTGAAAAAGATCGAGCTGCCAAGCCTACAGAATGGAGGTAAGGGGAGCGCCATCAGCTGTTGCGTGGGGGTTGTTGTGCATTTGTAGAACTGTCCACGTGTTTCTCGAGCTCAGATTTTCACAAAAAAGGCTTGGCACAGCTTGTGGCAAACCATGTGCCTCGGCAGAGCCGAGCAATTGCTCAGGGACATGTGTGCTGATGGGTTTAGTGCATTTTCAGACATGCTGGCATCCGATTATACACGTGGAATTAGGAGGCTGAACTTTAGCCCCAGCATGTGGTGGCTCTGGCATGCCTTTCAAAGTCCCATAGCACTTAATCACACATGGTGCCTCATGGGAAAGATTTTGGACTCTTATTGCAAATAAACTTTGCTGGAGAAAATTGCTGAAGTGATACACCCTCAAAACCAACCGTTGCAAGGAAGTGGAATTCGTTTAATTTAGAAGGAGAAAGAGAAGTGGACCTTGGCCACAGCAGGTGATGTAACTCTAGTAATACACAAAGATGCTTTACTGCTGTAAAATTGTCATCTGCTTTACCTTGCAAAATCCTTTGCAGGAAGCTGGGGAAGACGGTAACCTCTGGCAGTGGGTTTTCAAAGAATCTTTTAATAGAATCACAGAATGGTTTGGGTTGGAAGGGACCTTAAGGATCAGCCAGTTTCAACCCCCTGCCACAGGCAGGGACCCCTCCCACCAGCCCAGGCTGCCCAAGGCCCCATCCAGCCTGGCCTTGAGCACCTCCAGGGATGGGGCAGCCACAGCTCCTCTGGGCAGCCTGTGCCAGTGCCTCACCGCCCTTACAATGAGGGTTTTCTCCCTAATGTCTGATCTAAATCTATCCTCTTTTAGTTGAAAACCATTCCCCTCGTCCTGTCATTATTTACCTGAGTAAAGGGTCCCTCTCCATCCTTTTTATAAAACCCATTAAGTATTAAAAGGCAACAGTGAGGTCTCCCCGGAGCCTTCTCTTCTCCAGGCTGAACATCCCCAACTCTCTTGGTCTTTCTTCTTAGAAGAATGAAGGAGAATTCATAGGAGAGTTTTACCTGAAACTTTTTTTGTATTGAGGGATAGTCATGGGGGCCTCCCACTGCAGTGAGAGTGGGGCCACAACTGGGAGTAGTTAAGGCTGAAGTCAGTTGGAGCTGGTCTTTCATTTAAAGAAGTAAAGAAGAAGACTTCTAGGAAAATTCTGCCTGCATTCAAAATGTACTTTTTATCAATGATTATCTGTGATTTTTGACCATATAACAGCATGAGAATGTGAATAAAAAGAGAAAAAAAATACACAGGTTTTACTTATGTGTTTATGTTTGGAAAAGGGTGGAGACTTTAGTAACATATTTAACGCTGGAAATGTTGATAAAAGAATGAACCTTGATTTTTGGCTTCACGTGCACATGCACACCATGCTGTTCATCACTCCACTGTCCTTAACAAAGTTTACTCCAGTTTAGCAGGTGTGTCAAAGAAAACTCATTAAAGTGCTAGTAGTACTGTTTAGGTTTACAAGTTGAAGGTTTGAAATATGATCTCTCTTATAGGTACTTTTCAGCAATTTCATAGCATGTGTAGTTCTACAGAGTTCATACACAGTTAAGCAAAAAGAATGATGCATGCAGGTATTTAAATGACCCAGAGTCATTTCAAAGAGGCAGCCTTTCCTATGTCACACAGTTTTCTTCCTGCTCACTCTGAGCTGGCTGTGCAGGAATATTTATGCCCAAATATATTTCTAGCTTATGTGAACTCGGCTGCTGCAGCATGGGCAATGAAAAGCATTGTTAGATGGAGGTGAACAGCTAATGCATGTTAAGCTACCTAGAAAACGTGTGCTTTCTCTTCAAGGGAGCAAAGTGGTGCTTATATATCACATGTGCCAAGGTCTCTTACCACCCTCTGCTGGATGAATCCTGAGAAGGCTTTTTATATATAAAGGTCAAAAAAGTTAGTGTTCTGATCAGGGGTTCTGGCCTGAGGATACTGAGTCTTCTGCAGAGAGAGGAGGCAGATAAAGAAAAACAGGACAGGAGAGAAGCCAGCTTTCTAGAGGAACATTTCTGAGAGCGTCTTGTAAGAGCACAGTGGTAATCCAGACAAAGCTACTGAATGCCATGGCTGCTTCTGGGTAGTTTTTTATGCTGATATATGGGGTTTTTGAACTTTTGGGAATCCTAAGGCTTTTGTTAAAAGACTGGCTTGTGGAACCTATGCTGTATTGTACCACTGATGCCCAGTAATTTGCTTTGTCTTTTGTTTCAGAGTTGCTGCTTGAATCAGTGTTTCTTAGTGTTGATCCGTACATGAGGTATGTCATCTTCCCCCCTTTTTATTTTCTTCCCCTCTTTTTAAATTGCTGAAAAAGTTAACTCACCTGAGCTCACAACTGAACATTAAAAAGAACATGTACTGGGAGTATTCCACATTACCCGAGTCCCATATTTCAGCAAGCTTTTCTTAAGCATACATATTCTAAATGGTCAGTTGCTGATATGCCTGTGTTAGTATTCAAGGAGAAGGAGAAGGAGACTCCCATTTCTTGGTCAGGCAGTAGCTACTACTTCATAGTATACCTGGAAGATCACTGAAGTTGCTTACAATAAGCTGTGTCTCTGCCTGTGTTACAGACCTTACAGTCAAAGGGACATGAAGGAAGGAGACATAATGATAGGCACACAGGTTGCCAGGTAAGATGTTCAGTTCTTGTTTTCCATCCATGTGGCAGATGTCAAAGAAATGTACTGACATTTGGGACATTGCAGCCTATGTCATGTTGTTTTTTTTTGAGATGAGTCTACATACTGCTTAAACTGTATTCCTTATCTACATTGGAATGGAATGTATTTTTTCCTGAAAGAACCTCTTTTGCCTTCTTGGAGAACATCTATGCCTCTGCAAACTACATGTTATTTCTGGAGTCAAAATTACAAGGAGAGGCACAAAGTGCCAACCTCTGTGCATGATGTGAAGGGTCAACTTCACGTTTTAAAATCTGATGTGCAGAAATTGCAAGCCCCAGACCATGCATGCTTACAATTCTGGCTGTGACTATCTCAGTGTCACTTAAGATGCAACTCTAGATGTAGTCAAAAGGCTATCTGATCTTAAATCTATCCTTTTCCAATCTTGTGGTAATTATTTAGCTATACAGATGGTTCCCTTTGTCTGCTTGTTCCTGCTGCACTGCCTCTAAGTAGCCATCTGAGAACATCTGTAACCTCCGACTCTTGTGGTTCTCTGTAGGAACACTGAGGGCTGGGGTATTTTCAATATTTCAAGGGTGCTTACCTACTCCTTCCCAAGCTAATCTTCGTGTTGGGATGAGAAAGTGGAATTTCTGTTTTACATGGAGATATCCTAAGTGTGAACTTCTATTATTAGATACTGCCTTCCATCTGTTCCTAAGCAGCATTTTGTTACTACAAGAGGTTCCCTCTTCAGGATCTTCAACTTTTAAATGAGGTGCAGGTTTTCTGAAAAGGGAACTGCTTTTTGTAGCCTGTTTGTGATTCAGCTTCTTGCTTTTCCATCCTTTAATCCCAGCATCCTCTTTCCTACCTTTGAGCTCATAGGAGCCCAGTCTGAATTCATACCAGACTGATGCTATTCATTTGTCACAGGTCAGGCTGAGTTTAGAATCCTCATGTCCAACTTTTCTATGCTGATAAGACACAGTAGCTATTCCAGGGAAGGCATCAGAAGCCTACAGCATCAGTAGGATATGGACTAAATGTCCTGACATGAAGTATTTATTTTCTTCTGCATCAAAGGGCAACAGGAATAAAAGATGAGAGAGACAGTTACGATTTTCTCTCTGACAGGATAATCTTTCTTTTTTATTTTTTTTATTCTTTTTTCTTTGCTTGAACAGGATTGTAGAAAGCAAGAATCCAGCTTTTGCGGTTGGGGCCTTTGTTGTGGCTAATAGTGGCTGGAGAAGTCATTTCATCTCTGACGGGAAGGGCCTCCATCTCCTTCCTTCAAGCTGGCCAGAATCACTCCCCAAATCTCTGGCTCTTGGGACAGTTGGCATGCCAGGGTGAGTATTACGATCCAAAGGAAGCTGTCCTCTGGATTTTGCTCTGCAGGGTGTTTCTGATCTTTTTTCCATCATCTTTTTCTACTATTATGCTGTCTGGTCACTCTGCTTTAAAAAAGAAAAAAAAAGAAAAAAAAAAAACAAACACAAAAAACATGTTTGTGTCAGGACGCCCTCACCCTACAGAGGGTCTGAAGTCCTTTTGATCAGAAATTTGTTTTGGATTAGGGTGCCTGTCCTTGAGGATTTGTGGTAAAGCAGGAAGAGGACCCAGGAGGGGCTGGAAAGAATCAAGTCCAGTCTGGATTAAGCAGAGTGGATTATTATTTATTTAATATATTTGAAATTAATTAATTTGTTATTAACTATTATTTAATTAACTGAGCAGATCGAATTTCAGTGCTTTATTGGCCAGTCTGCTTCTGCCTATTGTGCTTTTCTGCTATCAATGTATTTCCAGAATTGTTGTCAAGAGGGCAAGAGACAGCTGCATAAGGTGGAGGAAAATAGCAGTCCTTTAAATCACACTGATGAAGACAGAGCTATGATGCAGGAGAAGCAATAATCACACTATTGCTTTCTCTCAGAATCCTGTTCATATTTCTTGTCTCCTTCTGCGTAATTTTTACAGGAGCTCAGGACTCCATGAGTCTTGCTGACACAGAAGGCTTTAAAAATTGTAGTAGTATTCTGAGCAATGCAGAACTCCTCAGATTTCATTTTGACATCACTCTAGATGCATCTTTTTTTAGACAGCAGCAATTCACCCTTTCAGTTAGGAACAAGTGGGAAGCTCTATACCTGAAATTAGAAGAAATTAAAGAGAAACTTCTTGGGATTTTGGGCCAGTTGATCTCATTACTTCTTACTCCTTCAACTTGTGAGCCCAAGGGAAGCTGTTTTCACATAAGGCAGACTTCTACCACACCATCCAGCTTCCCACTAGTGTGTCGTATTTTTCTGGAGTGTCTGTAGCCTTATAACAGAAGTGAATGTGCTTACAACCCAATTTAAAAAGCTGCACTTTTTTTTTTTTTTTTTAATAGAATTTAAGGAATGAGGAAAACTGAATCTTGTTCTGGTTGTGATGATATTTTGATTTATCGTGGTCAATTCAGACCTCTGTGTCTGTTTTCTTTTATTGCTTGTTGAGCATCTTTCTTTTTCTTCACAGCCTTACTGCATATTTTGGTCTGTTCGAGGTCTGCAAGATGAAGCCAGGAGAGACAGTGCTGGTTAATGCTGCAGCGGGCGCTGTGGGCTCTGTGGTGGGGCAGCTTGCTAAAATTGGGGTGAGTGGCATGGACTGCTTGTCCTTTCACCTCAGAAGGCTGACCTGGCCTTCTGAGACTATGAATGATCAAGGCCATGAATGATCAGGAGGGCAAGCATCCCGTGTTGTGAGGGCCTTTAGAAATGTTTCTCTTTCTTTCCTTGCAGGGTTGCAAAGTGGTTGGCTGCGCTGGCTCAGATGACAAGGTTGCTTATCTGAAAAAATTAGGCTTTGATGAAGCCTTTAATTACAAGACCGTTACATCTTTGGATGAAGCACTGAGTAAAGCCTCTCCTGATGGCTACGACTGTTTCTTTGACAATGTGAGTTCAGACAGAGGGCCTGGCCCTGAACAGACTATTATTTTCCTTAGACTATAGCAGAAACTCAGTATGGAGTTTCATCTAAGTCTTATATAGGTTCTGTAAAAGCTTACTGCCTCCATGTTCCCTTCCCAGATTTTTCTGCAGCTGCCTTGAGTGGTAACAGACAGAACAAACATTGAAAGGCAAAGCTGGATTGTTAGTGCTAATTGAGGCTGAACAGAGAGGAACAGGTCTACTCCTGGCCCCAGCTTGGAACATGCAGTCCTCTGCTGTTTCTGGAAAAGGAGAGAGGATGAATGTGGTTACGTGGTCCAAGAGGCTACAAGGGTACCAGTAAACAAAGCAGTTGCAAGGCAAGCTTGTAAAAATTCCTAGAGTAGTCTGTCTATGGTTTCTCACCTCTCGCTGTTAGAACAGGTGTTAACAGGCAATGTGGACTGGTCTCAGTGGGCTGTTTGAATGTGAACGTCGTGTTCTATGGGCTGGGAGAGTTTAAAAGTATGGATGCAGTCAAACCATGTCAGTTCACCCTCAAGCCAGAGAATGAGCCCACTTTTTATTTTAATTTCCTAGTATACCTGGTGTATGTATTATACCGAGCTTTGTGAAGCAGATACAGAGTTAAAACTGGTTCCCTCTGTTCATAAATAATTTTTAGAAAGATGATGCAGTCCTTGTAGGTGTTAGCTAAGAGTAAGGGTTGCTGCAGCCACAGTCTGGAGGAATGGAGGTCAACTTTCCACCCTTGATTGAACCTGTTCTTTTCAGCACAACATCTCAATGCTGGCAAGTTTTTGGCAAACAATGCCAAAGAGAGGATTTTCTCTAATGCTGCACATCCTCTGCTTTGTGTAGGTGGGTGGAGAATTTTCCAGCGTTGCCATCAACCACATGAAGAAGCATGGGAGGATTGCAGTCTGTGGAGCCATCTCTCAGTACAATGACTCCGTGCCCCAGAAAGGTGTGTGCCTACTTCCACGCCTCTAATTTTAGTTACTATTTGGTGATGGCAGAGTGGGACATAGTGGGAGATTCTTGGTATTTTGCTAGTTGTTTCAGCGTGCTAGTTGAGTTTGTGTGTGTGTGTGTATTCAGATAACAAACCACTGCTCCGGGGCAGCTGTTGTGTGACCACACTTACGTGTGTACACGCAGTCACACTCCTTAGTACACTCTCATATCAGATGGAGAACATCAGCTGATTAGAAATTAAGGAGAGGCTGAACTATGTGAAATAAGAATCCCCTGGGCTCTGAGCAGATACAGATCAGTGGAAGGCAGCAGGTGTGGTGGAACAATGGCATGTGCACAATGCATACTTGCAGATGAGAAAATGGATTTCCCCCAGGTTTTTAGATGAGACAGCTCGGTTTTAATCTGTGTGTATGTGTGCTTGTTTGTTTCTTTCTTCTCCCATCTCATCAGTGCTAATGTTTCATGTACTGGTGAAAGTGTTGGGAAATATGTCTGAAATTAATATTCAACAGCATTAAATTTTCCAGATTTGCATTCTAGAAGAAATGAGTGTTCTTAGGAACTGCGTTCTCTGTGCCTTTAGACTCCCAAATCACTTTAAAAATGGGACAGGCTTTTTCAATGGGGAGATTATCACACATTTCTATTACTGAGGGAACTTTTTCTGAGCTTTAGCCAAGAGCACCAGAGCTCAGAAGGCTATCTAATAATCAGTTAAAACAGTACTTTGAGGATTAAGCTGAAGCCCCTCAGCAAATGGGATTTTTACTTCTGAATGAAACTTTTCACAAGTGCTGGGTGTTTGGCCTCACACAGCTTTAACAGCTCAGGACTTTGTTTTCCTGGGTGGCTGTGTCCCTGAACCCATGATCTTATTATTCTGGAAATTCTTTTTGGAAAGAATTGCAGCTGCCTCTGGCTGGAACAATGTGATTCAGTGTCCTTTACTGGCTAAAAGCTCTCTTTATGCATTGGGTCTCATTTTAAATGAGACTAGCATCACAGGCAGCTTGAGGGTTGGTTCCTTTCTCCTACAGGACCTTACGTTCAGATTCCAATGATCTTCAAGGAGCTTCGTATGGAAGGGTTTATTGTCACTAGATGGAATAACCGCCGGGAGGAAGGTCAGAAGGCACTGCTGAAATGGGTCCTGGAGGTAAGAAGGGAAGGGGTAATTTTCTTTACTGTGTACTTGCACCATGGCTTACCTCTTTGCAAGGGTGGGTCTCTTGTTGTAGCTGGTGAAGTGAGGTCCTGGTATGATTTTCTTCTATCTGACGTGATCTTTGAGCCTTTTGAGGACACTCAAACCATACTGAATATGCCTGATGCCTTCCACTTCACTGAGACTTGTGATACTAGCCTGTGGTCTTAACTTAGAATCCCAGAAAAAATATAAGCTTTGGAAGAGGATCCTTCCAGAACCATTCTAAACAATTCTCTGGCAATTAAGAGTTTCTTATTTAGAGTATTTCCTCTATTTCTCCTTCAGAAAACTCCTTTCATTTCTAGTATAAACAAGCGTTTCCATTGTACTCATGTGCTTGAATTACTGGTAAAAATCAGTGCCCTTATGGAACCGGGAGCTGGGCTCTAAAGGGAGTTCCGAGGATTTTTTTTTCTTTACTTCTATTTTTCTAAATGGAGGCTGAGTTTAAAACTTGATTCGTGGCTGTGAAAAATATGTGAGTGTGAACATGGAAGGCTAAAAGGCTTTTTATCTTTTACAAATTGACAATTTGGGGAGGCTTATTGTTTTGATCTGACATTTTGATTTGTAATTCCACACTTCACTACAGAGAGAAACAGGCCTGGCTTTGAGGAAACAATCTACTTGTCCATTGTTTGGGGACTGAGAAGCACTAAATCTGTCCTGGTGATTTTTTTCAGCAGTGACTTTTGCTCCCTCTTCTGACTCCAAGCTGGGGGAGGGAGAAATCTTGCTACAACAGCAGATTCTTATATGGAATCGCTATATCCAAACCCAGCTTTGCAAAGCTACCATGGTGTGCACCAGCTTGCATGTTTCAGATGGAGCATACAAGCTGGAGAAAATTTGTTGGTGGCAATAGAGACTCATGAAGATCGCGAAAACTAAGCAGCTGATGAATGAACACTCAGCAGTTTCGTTTCTTCCTTCTGACAGGGAAAAGTGAAGTTCCACGAACAGGTCACTGAAGGATTTGAGAACATGCCAGCAGCTTTCATTGGAATGCTAAGGGGAGAAAATCTTGGAAAAGCCATTGTAAAAGTCTGAAGGTCGCATATTCCTGGGAAGGCAGGCAAAGGAGAATGTGATTCTGTTCAGATAAGTGCTTTTAACTCGCTGTTCAAAAAGCATATTTCATTATTTTTGTTGGACGGTGGTGAAGATAACCTCTTAGTAATTGGTCAGATAACTGTAAGAGTATGCCAGTGGCTTTGCTCTTGAAGAACTTGAGACTTGCTTCCCAAAGCTACAGAAAAAAAGCCTTAAAACTGTTCAACCTTATCAGAATTTTATGTTTTAGTAGTAGTTTGAGCAAATCTAAGATGAGTAATAGGAAGAAAAAGGCCACTCTGAAAGGTTTCCCAGCTGATAGCATATCTGATGACTACTGTTTACCTATTGATTTGGTCCAGAACTCAGCAAGAGGGAATATAATTTTGTAAACAATATTAGGGAGCAACAATCAGGCTAACACTATGCAGTTGTTCTCAGTTTCCTCACAAGGCTGGCAATTAAAAAAAAAAAAAGTAGGAAATATAGGCATCTTAGTTATTCTGGGCCTACAGAAAGAAAGAAATAATAAACCTATTAATGGATACTTCACTTGTGTTACAGTTCTTTTTCCAGGTGAAGAATAAACACAGATATGGAATTCCTTGTTGATTTCTGTTTTCTTGTTATTGGTCTCTGAAGACAGACTGTAAAAGGCCCTAGAGTCTTTATGGGGGCAGAGTTAGATGATCTATCTGTCAACAGGAAGAGATCACTTAAGATTTAGAACAACTACTAGAGGAGAGTTGCTTCTTGCTTTATAGGGGTTTCTGAAGGGAAAGGAGCACCAGTGTGTGTTAGCTCCAATGCTGTGGCTTTCAATTGGCCTCTGAGAAAATTAATACCACTGCACAGTGTGGAACAACATTAAAAAAAAAAAAGGGAGTTTGTTGCCAGGAGGTTTCAAATCTTCTATCTAGAAGCCTGCTTCTGTTTCACCATTCTTTACTGAGAAATTTTCAGAAGACTTGCAAGTCCCAAATTACTGAATTGTTTTAAGGTCACTAATTTCGTGATCTGTTGTTTCAAGTAAAGCTGGGAGTTGTAGCAAACTAAAAACAGCCACAGGGGGTTCCTGTCCCTTGTAAAATGATTTGTCAGAAGAATTCTGTCTTCAGCCTGCTTTGTAATAAAACACTGACCACGAGGGAAAGGTACAGCTCAGTGTACAGATCTTACACTTCACGAGCTGCAGTTGATTTTGCAAGGTAGTTCTAATACAAAAACATAGTGTTATGTGTAAAACAACAACAACAACCCTGCTCCACCTCTGAACTTCACAGGTTGAAGTTCACAAAAACTTGGTATTTTTCTGCCCTTTAACAAGGTGCCAGGGTCCCCTGGAGAGCAAAGGTACAGCTGTGCAGTGCTGGGATAGGCCCTGTCTGCCAATAAATGCATTGTGTGCTTTTAGGCAGTGTTAGCAGTATCACTGCTGTCCAGCCTGTCTTCCATCCAATTGCACAAGGACTGTGGGCCGGCAGACACTGTTTGCTGTCACCCTTTGTCTAACGTTAACATTCTGAAACTGAAGATAGAAGCTTCCCAGGAAAGGAAGAGGAGTTCGAGAGTTTCTAAAAGTTCTAGAAAGCCCCCTGCTCTCCTCCAGCCCATTACCTAGAGCTACCAGCACCCCAGCACACAAAGGAAAAGGCACAGGGTATTCCCAGAGTGTGTGTATAAAAAAAAAAAAGTACAGAAACAGTTACTGCCACCTTGTGGAGACTTGCATGGCACAAACTTGTTTTCTCAGCCAGCTGCAAGTGGGAGCAAGTCCTCATGCAGCTCTCACGCTGCTGCACCCTCTCTGTTTACCAGCCTGGACCACCTCCAGAGAGGAGGAGAAACACCACTTGGATTTCCCTGTTGACACCACACAAATTTTTCAAAGTTCCCTCAGCTCTTCTACTTGATCCTTACCAAATCCGCGGGACTAAAGGACAACAAAGTTGTTGGGAAGTTGTCCGCTATGAGGTTGGCATTAGGCAAGTATTGAACACCATGTAGCTTGATAAGGTATTAGAAGCTGTTTTTTGTCCCTGCTACAGCTGGTTAGCTACGATGAACAAACACCAAGAAATCAGAACTATTTCAAATGCTATTCTATCAAATCCAAGCCTAACATAATCCAGGTCTGGGAAAGAAGGAAAAGGTAATGGTCAGCTGGAGGTGAAGTTAGGCTGAGTACTGCAAGAGACATGGCAGTGATGTCTCTGCTCAAGAATTATTTCTCAAGTGCATATCACAGGGGGCTCGGAGCATGGCTGGAATTAAGGAGCACGGCTATTTCACCGCAGTCTAACCCTGCATTTTTCCCTTGTCCACTCTCTGTAACCCCTTTGTCTTGGTTTTCCTTTCACAGGTCCCTCGTAAAGCCTAGCCATCCCAGCCACACGTGCAATTTCTGTGCATGAGGAAGTATTTTTCTTCCTGTCGGCCAGTCCACTCTGAGGCTGGAAGCTACAGAACAGGCACAAGGAGAAAAGCTTCTTGCCCTACTGGTTTGACAGCAAGGCACAGATCTCAGCCACTTCATAGCCAAATAAAATGAGACTGCAGTCATTGCCTGAGGGGAGGATAACTCCTTCCCTGAAGGAGCCCTTGCTCCCAGAAGTAGCCTTTATATGTTTTTTTTTTTTTTTTTTTTTTTGCACCAAATATGTAAGAAATGTGGTGTGCATTCAAGTCAGTTGGTCATCTACTGTCTCCCCCTTAAAGGCATTTTCTCAGATCACAGGATCAAAGCAGGTCACATCCCTGCTTCTCACCAGAGCTAAATGATTTCAAGGAGAGCAACCCAGCTGCTGTATGTTCTGAAATATGGTAATACGGGTCTCGTTCCTTCAAATGAAGGACAGCTCCATTCAGCCAGCAAAAACCACACTCATTGAGTTCTCCAGCACATGAAGGCCAGTGTTTGAGTATATGCCCCAAGTTTTCAGCGAGGTTCCCTGGAAGCACTGCATTTGGGTGGTGTGGTTTAACCCAGCAGGCAGCTATACGCAGCACAGCTGTTCCCAAACCACATTTCCCTCACCCTTTATTCCCTCTCTGTAGGATGGAAACGAGAACCAGGAAAAAAAGGTAAAATTTGTGGGCTGAGATAAAGACCACTTAATAGGACAGAAAGGGAAAACAATGACAAGAGAATAAAAGCAAGAAGAGCACACAAAAGCAAGAATAAGAGCACGAAGCAATTGCTCACCACCCACAGCACCAATCCCAGCCCCCATCAGCAGCATCCCCCAGTGTTTGTCCCACATGACACCCCATGCTGTCCTGGCTGTGTCCCCTCCCAGCTCCCTGCACACCCCCAGCCTGCTCCTGCTGGGGCAGCACAAGGAGCTGGGCAGGCATGGCTCCCCATGAGCGCTGCTCTGTGACAACTAAACATTGGTGTGCTGTCAGCATTGTTCTCATCCTAGAGATAAAACACAGCGCCACACCAGCTACTTGGAATAAAATCAACTATCCTAGCACAAATTATGACACCAGGGCAACATACACATTCTCAGCAGGCTGAAGCCCATGCTCCTGCCTGTAGAAACTGAAAATACTGCAGCAGAGGAAGCTGAAGATTTGCTGTCCTTGCAAGAGCTACTTTGCAGCCCTCTGAGCACATGACATACTCACGGGACCTTCCTGATCCTGCCCCATTCCCAATTGAATTTGCCGTCACTTCTGTATTACCTAAATATTTCAGAGCTGCATCCTGTTAAACAAAGCATTACCTCAAATTTAACATGATTATGATTTCTGAATAACAGTTCTTTTGCCTGCTCTTAACAGGCATTTGTCAGTAAAACAGCCAGAGCAGCAGGGAAAGTATTCTGCTCCTCATTGTATCAGCAAAACCCAGAGCTTATATCCACAATTCTTGAGGGCTCATCCTCAGAGGGTGTGCTCACTTCTTGGGAATGGAAAAATCCTTTGAGCAGGGAGCATGGGCAGCAAACAGCCCTCCTGAGCACCAGGAAATTCATGCATGCCTATGATGTGAGTGTGATCTGAGTCACTGCTCACCACAAAGAGGCTCACTCATTCCACATTTGTGGACAGATGTAGCAGGAAGGCCTGCGTTTTCATCAGTGACAGTCTGTGAGCAACACAGCTCCCCAAACTGCTGCCTTAGGTGTAGCTGCTAGCTACAGCCCTGCTTCCTTGTTTACTGAGCCTTACCCAGGAGACAACACCCAGGCCAGCAAGAAAGATGTTTTGATATGGAGGGAACAAGGCAGTCAGTCCTCAGTAACTCTGAAAATGGCGGTTAAACAGTACACACAGGCTGTCACGTTAATTAATCTGGACAACTGACAGGTCTGGAGGACTGTCGAGTCCAGTTTACTGTCTAGCACAAGGTATATCCAGTGCAGTGTAAGAACGCAGTGTATCAGTTCAGTGAAGACAAGAATATACAGATTTAAAATATCTCAGGCTTAAGACATGATGAGTTTTGCCTCGTTAGTCCTTCGCCTAGGCAGTAATCTGGAACAAGCAAGCGGCCCAGCCCAGAGGCTATATGCACACCACTGCCAACAGAACCAGATCATATCCCAGTGGCAAGGCAACACTGCAAAGGCAGGAAGGCAGCAGCCTCAAATCCTACCTTACTTCCCTGGCAGAATTTGTAGCATGTTCAGGTACTTGTACCATGCTTAATACACACATAACCTTATCTTCTAAGCCTAAAATAAGGCTTGAGAATTGAACCTTTAACTAAAAAGAAGCCATCCATATCAGTGATACCCACTTTTCTACAACTCCCAAGCTAACCTTTTTGTACCTGCAAGCCAGACAGCCACCCTTCAGACAGAGGGTGGCAGCTACCACCTGGGTGATGTGCCAGCAGTCTTCTCCTAAAGAACCATCAGTGATACCTTTCAACACTCACTTCCCATACTCAGCAGTAACCCCGTATTAGATTGTTGCTTGACAAGAGCCTTTGCACCCAGACAGTATTCCTTTAGCACAGCAGAACTGGCACCTCAGTGACATTAAGAACTTGCTCACATCTTCACCCAAGCACAAGGCAATAACCAAAAGTGTAGAATTTACACTTTATTGTATTCATTTACATAGACCAAGAAGTTTCCACCATTTAACCTAGATAGCTTGATCGGATTTTTTTTTTAAAGTAGAAAAGTTACAGGCTATAATTTAGCCGAAGCAGGCATGCTCCAGTGTCCCCATGGCTGGAGATTAGACTAGACTTTTAATGGTCTCTTCCAGTTTTTCTTTATTGGCCCCAGAGAATTCCTGCACCTGTAAAGAAAGCAATTTTTAGAAGTGTATAACATCTAGTTGCGTAACAGCCAGAAACATAGGTCTATTCAGCCCTGCTACCACTAAGATTTCCTTATGCCCCAAAACAGGGAGCATTTTGCATGGGCTACGCTATTCACCTCCCACTCAGCTCACAAAAACTGGTGCACTCTATTAAGAATCACTTTCAGACTACCACGGCTGGGAGGCTTTAACATGTAAAAGGAAAAAACAGTTGATCCTGAACCAGTGTTGCATAAGAACTAAAAAATACAGGCTTGAAGGGACTCTGGGTGTCACCTCTCAGCAGATGTATATTAAAGTTACCTTGGGTCGCTCCAGA